ACTACGATCGAGACACAATTCTTCTCGATGCGGTAATTCACGAACACCCTGTATATATCATATTTACATCAGATGTAGCTACACAATGCTGATTCCCTGCACACCATCAGTGAAACAGTTAAGAAAAGGCTAATGAATCTTAGTTCTATAGCCTGTAAACACTCAACAGATCGAAACTGCAAAGTGTGGCTTCTGACTCGCAGATTTGATTAAAAACCTCTTGCTAAGTTGATGCCCAAATAACAAGTACGTCAAATTTATATCCACCCAAACTTATAGCTATGATTCAACAATTTTTTGTGCCAACAGCAAGTTTTACGAAAACAAATTGTTAAAACCACATTGGCAAACGTCAATATATTGATACCTGAGCACTTATAATTTCCCAGTCTCCTGGTATATCGACGTATAATGGTATTATTCCCAATTACATGACACCCTACGCGTTTCCATTGTGAACGAGTCTGACAAAAAAAAAGTTCGATTGAAAACAGTAACAAATGCTCCAGTAAATCTGACAGTTTACGTCCACGATTCTTGGACACTCGGTGTATCGACATGCAAAGTCTTACGTATAATTTATTAAAGCCGCTGAGAGCGTTTCGGTTATCAACGAGGAGATTCGAAGGCGAACGCAAACGGGACCACGAGAAGCAGTGGTTACGACCAGAAGGAATAACGAATAAGAAGCGAGAGGAAAAAGGTGCCTCGGCAGCACCGGGCAGGGCCAAGAAAAACCACGCGGAGGGCGCCACGCAATAAGGGTCGACGACCCGGAGTGCCTCTGCCACCTGTACGTCCTGAACCAGTTCCCCTTTTCGGGCAGCAATGTGGGTCAGCACGCCTCCTAGGCTAAAAAGGGCATGCCTGTGTGTGTATGTGTATCGGCGTACGCCACCAGACAATGCCTTGACGCGTGCACCCGTGTAAAATGGAAATCAAAATACGGTGAGGGTCGGGGCTATTGTACGTGTATACGCTCCAAAGAAAACGCAAGACCATTGTCTGAATGAATTTGAAACGTGTAAACAACTCTGAGCTCCCAAAAGCCGTTCATGGAGATATCAACATGTCACTGGACTGTCTGTTTCAGAATATAGGAGTTTCCATGAATAATTGTACAATCGAGGGGGTGAGTCTATGTGGAAGAACAAACTGAGAAGTTGTTGCCAATGTTCGAATACAACTATCGGCCAAATCTTTGAAATCACTTTGCGATTGGAAGGTGTTAGACCGAGTTGGAGCGCAAACGACTTTTAAAAAGATCCAAGGTACAGATTTAGGATAGGTATGAGGTAGTAACACGTGATTATTTCGCTTAGTGAGATTTTAATACTTGAGGAACTACAAAGCTCGTTCGGTTGAGCAGATTAGTTTATGAACCGGCGAAGTTACTTCTTCGTGAGTTTATTAATAACGAAAAGTACAAAAAGGAGCTCGATCTCTCTTGAGGAATTGTTCTAATTGAACGATTACAACGAACTGTTCTAATGGAACGGTTACAGCCGACGACCGGCGTTTTCAAAACCGACCAGTGCGGTGTACCGAGATTCTTTTCCTCTCTTTCGCTATCCCTTTCGTAGCAAGCTCTCCTGCTCGCACGCATAGCAACGCGTACGTGGCTCAGTTTCTATCGTACAGTCAGAGAAGAACGACAATAATATTATGTTTTCTCCTCGTCGCCCTTGTACGAACAATCATAATCGACTAACGACTTTGAACGGTAGATTTCGGGTGTACTTCCGAAACTGATAATAATTTGTACCTCGAGTTTCTAACAGAAGGGAATAGAGATTCGCACTTCAGGTGATTACGAATTATTCTATTCGTCTACAGAAAGTAGCGAATTGTAGGTATGAAAGATTCCAGGTGCTCTGAAAGTCAGTGAATTTTAATAATTATTCTGTAATGTAGAACACATAAACGCTGGAAATCCATCAAGCATCGAAATCAGGAACGACAGTATTTAATATTCTAATTAATTCTATATTCGAATGGTCAGTCTGTTCAGGCATGACCTTACAACCTGTGCACCAGGTCAACGAACCGGAAACAACGTCCGTGCTAAAAAAAAAAGACTAGTGTCTTGAAAATTCTGGAATATCAAGTTTACCCCGAATGTGGATCAATCGCTTTAACAGGGAGCATCGACGAATTCGGCGTTCGCATTCATCTGGTCGTGTTTTTTGCGCGCTCCGATAGAAATAGCCAGAGATATCAGTTAGTCCTTGGAAAGGAAAAAAAATATAACGATCGTGGGGAGAAAAAGCGCGACAAAAAATGGGGATGAAAACAGAGGGATAAAAGTCAATGGCCAAAGTATGCCATCTGTCCTTAAAAAAATCAGATCTCGTTCGCGACGCCCCTGAAAAAACAGCTACGTCGGCGGCAATGGTGACGCTTCCCTGGGACACGGTACGCGTATTTACATCGGGCACACGCATTAGTGCACGTACGTACACGCGAGCCGGTCAGCTGTTCCGAACGACGACGTCCAGACGCGAAATCCTCGAGTGCGGCGTGCCGCGTCCTCGAGACGATTCCGTTCCTCGACCTCGTGGAAACCGGGCTAACCGCGCGAGACGTACGGTTCTGCAGACGAGAAGATGGCGCGGGGGAGGTGGGGTTGATGGGGCAAAACGCGAATTAGGTTAGGTTGCGCGGTGGCGGCGTCGCGGGGAGGGGGGGGAGGGATAGAAGATAGGATGCTGGTACGCTACGAACAGCTGCCGCTACGGGGAATTCTATGGTCCCCTTTATAAAATTCCGTGCACGAGCACCGAAGATCATGTAGACTAGATTAGGGTGGAAAAGCGTGGTTCGGAGGGTCAGTGAGAATGCTGGCAGGTCGATAGCAATGGCGCCGCGAAGCTACGAAGAAAATCAATCCTGTACGACACGCGACGTGTTTTGACGCGCCTACAAGTACTACACTTTCTCGGAGGGATATTTTCCGTTGCTGTTTCGACAAGGTTCGTTTCAGATAATTCGGGATAACATGAATGTCGATGAAGACAGGGGGCCGGTTAGGGGAGGGGGTAACGCGATGGGGGAGGGCACAAAATTGTGACAAGAAATACGGAGAGCACTAACATACCGACCGAGGTGGCCGGAAAAGACGAGGCCGCAGGGCCACGCATACGCGCACACAAGTTAAGATCTTGCGTACACCTACACGCATCATAAGCTAAGGTGGCCAGAGGCGCATACGGCACACGCAGGGATAACCGTCCACGATCACGGATTTAAAGAGAAATTTTCGTGGTAGCTTACTTTTGATCACTCGTTCCGTCGTGGAGAGCTTCTGCGAGTTGTTCGAGGTCATACTGTATCAGGATGGTTGACGGGTGGGCGCCGGCCTCACGCTCTCCTTCTCTTCTCTATTTCACTTGTTCCCTCTACCCCGGTCACAGGATCGTCTCACTCTCTCTCTCTCTCTCTCTTTCTCTCTATGACACTCTCCTTTCTCTGTTTCTCTCGGCGTGTCACTCTGTCGCTACGTTTTTTTTTCCTTCTTCTTCCACTGGCCGTAGTTACTCGCGCGAGGTAGCACCTTCCTCTCGAACGGGGGGTTGGGTGGAAGGAGAGGGCGGTATTTTCACCTCGAGAGCCCGGCGCGGCACACACACATACACACGCACGGAGTGGGGGAGGGAGGAGAGACGGGGGTCGGAGAGGTGACGGAAGTTATCGCACGGTGCGGCACATCGGTGGCTCCGGAACGTTGTTCATTGGGCGTTTGCGGAGTGAGAAATTATTCTGCCGTGTCCCTCTCGCTCCCCGTGTATTTACGACACACCGCTGACCGACCAGTAGTAACTCCTTCTCTCTTCTTCTCTCTGGTCTCTCGCTCTTTCTCGCTCCCTCTGCCCGACGAAAGGTACCACCAACGCCTTTTGCGGGGCGAGTAACTGGATCGCTGGACCACGCGAGCTGCACGGCCAGCACGACGGGGTCTCGCGACCACGGTACCACCAACACCGAGCTGCACGATCGAACCTCCGTGAAACGACAGCCGTCAGACCGATGACTTTTAATACAGACGTGGTGGAGGACAACCGACAACGATCGCTCGGCGTGAGCACAGGGAGAGCGGTCACGACGACTACAACGGACGACGACAACGGACGACGACGACAACGACAAAGACGACGGCGGCGGCGGTGACGACGACGACGACGACGATGACGAAGACGGCGACGACACCGTAATTAAAGAGCACCGCGACACGAAACCGTGACACCGACACCCACGGTCGAAAACACCACGCCGCTAAATTCTACTACAAGATGTCTGTCTGTCTAGCTCTCCGCGGCGCGCACACTGACGGCTCCGCGGCTACGAGACGGTCGCGCAGCCCTCGACGCGCAGCAATCATTCGAGACCGCGGATTGGCCGCGCCGCCACCAGCTGCCGCCACCCGCTCTCCGTGCGAAGGCGCCACTGACCGCCGATGACAATCGACGATATTTCACGATTTCGTGGCATTTACACTACTTTGAGTCTGCTTGACGCGATATATACCTACTCTTTTTCTCCAGCAATAACCTGGTGACAAAAGAAATACATGTGAAAGGGACGCATTGATTGTTTGACACAAGTAGGTCAATAGGTCACTGTTCGTTCAGAAACGCCTGTAACTTTCAATGCCCACAATTTAAATATATTTTTTCTTTTAATAGATTTAATTTCCAAATTCAATTCTTATCATACTTTGAGTAATCGAAATGAAAAGGCTTTCGTATCTTTTTCCAGTCGCCTTTTATTGAAAAATCCGATTACGATGTAAACAGCGGTCGGTAAGTTAGGTGATCTCCAGGAATAGCGCCAGATTTGAATGATTCTTGATATTTATTCTTATATATTGAAGTATTACATATAATAGATCTAACTAATCAAGTTAAAAGTCGAAGTTTCATAGTGTTACACTCGCATGATACACACGTGCATTCGTTTGTATAAAGTATACTGAAAATACTTTTAAGATATGTCGTCAATTATTAAAATTTCAAGTTTGGTCTTTTCTCCACCCACGCCTGGATTTTCGGAAGAATATCCTTTGTAATGTCAGATTCGTAAGCAGTGTTTATCGCGTCCGAAATAGCGACGAAGAATAAGTCCGCGTAGCTCAACTGATGAACGATAAAGCAATTAATTTTTGTTCTGAATCAAATTATGAACAAGAAATACCTACTTCTCCTCCGTATAAGTATCCACCATTGTTCTTCGCCAGTTCCTCCAATTTTTTCAGATAAGACGGTATCACTTGCGTGAAAACTTCCGTTTTTTTCTTAGCCTTCAGAATTGGATCTGTTTCTCTATAGTAGGACGATATCACGACTGCAAAAAAAAAGCAAAAAAACTTATCGATCACACTCGCACGAAATTGAACGGGATTTAGCATTATTTGCGGCCGCGCATCGGCAGAAAGGAATCAATTTGCCGGACGTAGAAATCAATATTTACGTCTCCTGAAGTCGTGAAGAGCGTTCGCGATGGCATCGATTTGCAGGTTGTCCAAATCGGTTTTCCCCCGCAGATTAAATTGTTTGGCCAAGTATTGGCAAATAGGCAACGTTTGCGAGTAAACTTTGCCGTCGATTTCCAGCGTGGGCAACTGACCGAACGGGGTCTCTACAAAATTTTGGTTCGTGTTAGAAATCGTCAGTCCATCGGTAAAATAATAACGAAGCACGAATTATTGCATAATTACTTGGCTTCAGATTGACCCACTCGGCGGAGGAATGATCCAAGCGGACGTCCTCGAAATCAATGCCGCCATAGCTGAGGAGAAATCGTATGGGTTCTGCCAGGCCCATCACATTGAAGTATACCAATTTGTATCCGGTCATCTTTGCCGATCTGAAAAATATAATGTCACATAACATAGTCAATAATACAACTACTACACTGTTTTCACATATAACGTATATTGTCTTTTAATTGTTTTGGCACGTGCAGGCTACCGCATATGAACTTACTTTACTGTAGAGTCGAGTGCAATGAACAACATTCACTGGAGACTAACCGTTTTTCAAGGTTAGGTGGGTAGTCATGTATTTCCCCTTCTACCATCCAGTGAACCTTCTTCATCTTATCTGAAAGACCCTCTTTGTCTACGAGGCATCGTGAAGCCTCTGATTGGTGTTCCGCTCTGAGGCAGCTCACTCCTTGCCCACTCTTCTGTCCACTTTCGCCTCTGATTGTGAATGGCACTGTCTGCCAAGAAACCGGTAATTCTTCAACGTAACTCATTCAGGGATACACACATTTCTCGTGGAATTAACAAACCAATAGAATCGAACTGTCAATTCTAATTATTTCTTCGTGTCAGAGAATTGTATAATCATCATCGATAACGATTCATCGAGTCTGCATCGCTTCAGACTGATTTTATCTCACTGAAGTATGCAGTCGTTTCTTTCGTGTGGAAGATTACAACTTCGAAGCTGTTAACCAAACCTCCTTATCATAATGCCACGTCACATTTAATTAGAAACTTTTAATCAAGGCCACGTCGTGAGGTCTTCGGCAAATAAAGACCCATTTTTATCCACCGAGGGCCTGGTGACACGACGAGATAAGGTGCCCCCCGGTCGCCGAAACAGAGAATCTTTGTTCCGAAAAAGGAGAATGAGGAACTGGCGATTTATCTTAATTACTATAGTCTTAATGAAGCCGAAGGATTTCCGTGAGACCAACGGCGAACCGTCTAAAAATAATTTGGCTCAGTATCGCAACGGGTCCATGGACATCGATAAACGACTATCAGAAGATGTGGTACCCAGTAACTACGTGATCGCGATCTCACCAGATTTTCGAAAAGACGAGTTCCACGGTTCCGTTCGTATCGACATCGAAGTATTATATGTTAGTCATTTCAATAGAGGAAAGCCATTTCTACCCACTAAATTCCATTAAATTGTACCCTTACATTTTTAAGTATACCGTACTAAGAAAGTGTCTAATAGCATTTACTATCGTAAAAGGCTCGAAGTCATATCGTATTACACTCAAGCAATTTAACCATTCTATCGACGAAGTTATATTCCCAAAGATCGAAGACGGAAATTCCGATAAAGTCTGTGTCCCCGGTAGACAAGCATGGAATGTTGGTGATCGAGACGTTTCGTGTCATCTCAGCGGCGGAATATTTTTTAAGAATGAATTTTACTGGAAGTTTGAAGGGGAAAGTCTATGGTTTTTACTTAAGCAAATATACCGATCTTAACGAGTCCGTCAGGTGATAAGCGAATCTCTAATCTTTCTTAGTGAATAATTTCTCAGATATTAATACAGTTTTATTGTCGACGTTAAGCAGAAAATTAGCAGTAACACAGTTTGAACCATTTTACGCGAGGAACGCGTTCCCTTGCTTCGACGAACCGAGCTTCAAGTCCACATTCCACATCCGTCTTCTTTATACAGAGAAACCGTTTTACCACGCGTTATCGAACATGCCAGTCACAGTATGTCAACAAAAAGAAAGAAACAAATACGCAAAATACGGACCCTCGAGGAATCATTCGTGTCTCATTTTATTACAGAAATCAGAAACAATTAAAGACGACAAGTCCTCGACAGTGACGTTCTTCGATCCTTCGCCACCAATGTCCACTTACCTCGTTGCCTTTATCGTCAGTGATTTCGAGTGTCTCGAATCGACCCTAACGATCTTAAACGGTAGCAACATTCCAGTAAATGTTTGCGTGAGACCTATGTACAAAAACAAAACGAGATTCGCGTTAGATACAGCGGTCCAAGTGATGGAATACTATTTAACCATTTTTGGCGTCGATTATCCTCTACCGAAACTAGGTAAATTACGGGTCAAATTTAATTTACTTTTGCGTGTAATAAATAAATTCAATCTGTTGTGAATACGCGTTGGTGTATCAAGACTTGATCGGCGTTCCCGATTTCAACGCTGGCGCTATGGAGAACTGGGGTCTAATCACGTTCAGGGAAACCGAGCTGCTCCACAACGGGAACGACAGTTCTTACCTGAACACAAGGAGTGTCAGCTGGACTGTGGCCCACGAGTTAGCGCACATGTGGTTCGGTAATCTGGTCACCATGAGATGGTGGAACGATCTATGGCTGAACGAGGGATTCGCGACATACATGGAGCACATGGCGATCGACTTTGTGTTCCCCGAATGGAATCTGGTCAACCACCGCAAGTCACTTAATACACACAACTGTGTCTGTCGGAGAATCTGAGAATTTCTTTTCTTTTATTAGATAGATTCCTTTCCGTTGCATACTAAGTACGTAGCCATGAGACACGACGGCAAAACCCGAGCCCGTCCTATCGTCAAACGCGTCGAAGATCCCGAAGAAATCGAAGAAATGTTCGATCGACTATCGTACCACAAGGTATACGGTCCCATATTGTTCAATTACGTTCTCCAGTCGGTTGGTTCACATCGACGACATTCACGGATTAGAATCGCAGAGCGCCACGGATGTGTACGGATCATTCCACGCGAAATCGGACACTTTTTGGAGCATTATTACGGACTTTGATCAAATTTGGATATGTTTTAGTTTTTAGTGATATATAAACGTATCTCGCAGAATTTTGAAAATGTTAAAAATTGTTGATTTTACAGCTGTTCAAAATTTAGGGTCAACCTTTCTTCAATAAATCATAATTATTGAACTAACGAACTGATCAAAATCAGCTTTGCGACTGCTTACAGTGGAGACATAACAGTACCTACTCAAAAGTATTTCAGATAGAAGAAATTTTTTTTTACCATTTATTTTGTAATTCCTTTAAAGAAATGCCATTTCATAATAGTAGGGCCCAATTGGAAAATTTAAAAAAAATTGAGGATGCAGTCCTAATTGTCCTCTTTATGGAAGAATTTTAAAAAATGTGGAGATTTTACAATTGACCATATGAAAACTAATTGAAGTTAACGCTGCGTCGAAACCCATCGACTCGACCGGCCGAGCCGTACCGGCTAGCCTAGTACCACCACAGACGAGATATAACGATAGACATAACATGCAATGTAATTTTCTGTCCCATGTTTCGGGAGCTTCAGGAGCCCCCGTACCATTTCAGAATTCCATTCCTTGCTAGTCTAGACGGTGTCGAATGTAATTCCTGAAATCGGAAACTTTTATGGAGAAGTGGGCTCTAACCAACGTGATTTTCGTGGGACACCAAGTCCCATAAGATGTTAGGTCTATTCTTATATCTCGTCTGTGGTACAATATGGTTTGTCCGGCCGAGCAGGTGTAATTCGACGCAGCGTTCACTTCAATTAATTTTCATACAGGCAATTTTAAAGTGTCCAGATATGTTCATAAAGAGGACAAATGGGGCTATATCCTCATTTTTTCTAAATGTTTAAATAGTTCCCCCGTATAAAAACAGGGTATCTATTTAAAACAATTGCACAATAAATGGTTAAAAAATATCTGTTTTAAATGAAATCATTTTTATTTGGTACTCTTATGTCTGCACTGTAAGTATCCGCAAAGCTAATTTTGATCAGTTCGTTAGTTCAATAGTTATGATTTATTGAAAAAAGGTAGACCCTAAATTTCAAACAGCCGTAAAATCAACAAATTTTCAAAAGTCCTTCAAGATACGTTTATATATTATTGCTCTAAAAAGTGTTCGATTTCGCGTGGAATGACCCGTACATGACATAGATCCTCGTTAAACGCCAGGCGGCAGCCGTGATCAGAATGCTGGAGGACGCGATCGGCAACACGAAGTTCGTTCGCGGGGTCAGGGATTACCTGACGAGATATCAGTTCCGTAACGCTGACTCCCGCGACCTGTTCGAAGTTCTCCGGAACAGCAGCAACATCGATATCGGCGATTTCATGAGCCGATGGACCAAAACTCCCGGGTTCCCGATGATCGACGTGCGTCGCGATAACGTCGTTTTCCGGCTCTCGCAACGACGGTTCGCGGTGAGCAAGAAATTTCACGAGACCCTCGAGTACGTATACACGTTAAAACGATCTTGTTTACGGCAAAATATATGAAATCCACATGGGTGACCACGGTCGTTTCTTCGTTTGTAGCGACGGAAGTTGGACCATTCCCGTGAAATACATAACGAGCAGGAGGGACGGAGTGAAGTTCGACTGGTTCCTCGGGAACTTTTCTTGCGGTAATATAATTCCGGATTCGAACTGGGAAAAACGGTTGGTTCCAGCCAATTCCGACTGTGGTTAAATTAATGTGATTACAGTGGAACTGACTCTTGAGAAGAAGGTAGATTGGATTAAGCTGAATCACAGATCGATCGGGTATTACATTGTGAATTACACAGAGGATGCTTGGAACACGTTCAGCAATTTATTGAAGAGCGACCATCAGGTAAGTAAGAATTCTGAAGATATGGACAGTTCCGTACGGTTGTTAGATGTGATTGATATTGTTAATTATCGTTAAATCCTGTCTACCACAGGTGTTAAGCCCTATCGATAGGGCAGACCTTCTGCACGATGCCTTTCTTCTAGCGGACGCGGCGGATTTGAATTACTCCGCGGTCATGAACTTGACCGTTTATCTTGTGAATGAAACACATTATCAGCCATGGGCCGTGGCCAGTGACTGGTTCGGACAAATGAACAGATTACTAGGCAAGACGCGTGTGCACGCTCGGTTTCAGGTATTGTGATTCATCGACTGCAGTGTATTTACCAAGAGTTTGTGTATAATTCATGGTGATACTTTTAGTCGTATGCCCGAAACCTTGTCGAGAAAATTTATCATCGAGTCGGATGGCGGGTTGTAGTGGAAAAGTCGTTCGTTAACAGGTTAGTCCAAGTTTCGATCGATCGAAATCGATCTCAATATCGATGATTAAATTGAAATATTAGACTCACTCTTTCGCTATCTGAAGGTCAAGAAAATATTGTTAGAATTCTGTGTGAATAAATATACTGTACAAAAGAGTTAGGGTAAATACCAAGTATAATTCCTGGAAATTTAGTTATGGAATCGAAATTAGGCAAAGGTATTCTAGGCTGAGGAAATTGTTTCGTTTCCTTGGACTAGATAGAGCAATAAAACCCCGGACGATAGCGATCCTCCAATTGTTTTCGGTTGTGTGAAACGTCAGTGTTATTATATACAGAAATATCAATACGAACAGACGAATTTTCGTCTATCTGTGCTACGTGTCGATCGATTAATAGCGAAGGGATTAACGCGGTGACCGCGATGGATCCAATGATAATCGGTTCCCTACGGATTAACCAACATATGAACAGCATCATTAGTTGAACACATTATTATAATATAGTACACATTATATTCGTACCGAAAATATCAAACCCATTTCGATTTTGCATCGTGATTCGTCGAACAGATTACTAGGCGTTAGAGGTAGAACATTACGAGAATTTCGATTTAAAGATGAACATATCGATAAAAGTGAAGCGTCAATTAGGGAGAGGTATATTTCCATTCGTTTCAAGAGAACTCGGCGTGCTGATACTGCACGCTGCCTGCAGCGTTGGTCAGAAACACTGCCTGGAAACGGCCAGGCGGAAGCTGATGAACTTTTTGGAGAACAACGCCGCGGAACCGCTACCAGCCGATATCCGCTCTATCGTCTACACATTCGGTAAGAGAAAAAATTTTCTTACATAAATATTGCGAGTGTTTTTCATAAATGTGAAAGGAAATGCTTTTTTGGAAGGTTCATTTCAATGCGTCTAAAGCTATGCCCACACTGAAGCAACAACGAGGAATATCCTATCGACCCTTATTGCTGCATATTCCAAAACAGTTCCAACGAATATCATCGTACAGAAACATTTTTTCTGCACTCGAACAACATAATCTAAGAACAATTGGGTTTTGTGTCAAAGCTACATTTGTTGCTTTGAAACATTCGACAACAAGCGGCGACTATTGTTTCAAGAATCATGGAACATCCAACAAAAAGTTCCTTATTGTTGCTCCAGCGAGGACTTAAAAATGTGATTGTTTACACGTCTGTTGCTTGTAACACCAATAAAAAAATAAGCATAGATGTTAAAGCATTGAGATGCGATTGGTATAATTCGAATTGGTTCACTAAAACCTACAGTTGGAGTCTTCTTTTGACAGAACCCTCGAAACTAATTCACACACGTAATATTTTTTCACGAGCCTTTATTATTCACGATACAATACCGCCACAATAGGCCTCGCCACGCAGACCAGCGACGTTGGATCAATATTTGAGAGCATGTCGCGGTTACTCGCAAGGGAGACCAACGTTCAGGAAAGGGATCGCTTGATGATCGGTCTGGCCGGTGTGCAAGATAAAGGCATCCTTAATCGGTTCGTCAACGTGCAATTCAATTGTCAACTAATTACTCCTGGCCTATTAATATTCGACGTCCGTATTATCTCCCCCTCTACGTGTTCCCCCTGCACGTTTCACCTCATTTATCGATATCTATTTTATTACTTACTTTTTCTTTTTTTTTTTTTCTACCCTATTCGAGAAACCTTCGTTTCGACGAAGATAAAACATTATTATTCGTTCGTCGATGAATTTATCCGTCGTAAATTTTCTTTCATTGCATCCTTACACTGTCGTAATACACCGCGGATAGATTATTAGTTGTTAAAAATAGACGTAGGCCAGCGCGGAAAGCCTCGACCTTCTTGAGCTGTTTATTATAACTTTTACGTACTTCGTCCTTTCGAAGCAGCGAACCGTGAATATTTACGCACCACGTAAATACGCGCAGAATAGAAGGTTGTGTACGAGGAAGTGAGAAAGGTATATGTATGTACCTTGGTGGATTTCTTATTAATATGCGTTCGCACATTTTAGATACCTTCGCCAGGCGACCAACGAAACTTTCATTCGCAAGCAGGACTTCGCCCAATTGTTGATCAAAATGGCGTCCACTCCCGTTGGGCTGGACGTAGTCTGGAATTTCGTACGGTACGAGCGTTCCAGGAATTCGATCCTACAACGATATTCGTGATTAAACATTCCTATAATCATTCTGATCATTGGATTGTCGTAATAATTAATCGATCATCTCGTAGATCCCAGTGGGACAGCCTGGCCAAAATGTACACCGCGAATGGTTACACCCTAGGCAACGCGATCGTCATGATCGTCTCGTTGTTCAAAGATCACGAAATGTTGCACGAGGTGATACCTTATCTTCTAACCAGGCCCAAGAACGGCCAACGAACTCGTGTGATTAAACGCGTGAAAAAAAGAAATTTTCATTCCAGGCGAGACGATTCTTTCTGCGACACCCCGATCTCGGCGTGACCGAAAGCGCCAAGAGGAACGCCATCGAAGAAATTGAAAACAACATCAATTGGCTGAAAACGAACATGCAAAACATCGAACGATGGCTGACGACCAATGGATTCGACTAAACGTCTCTGGTTTCCAATCGAGGCGAGTTGAACGCCTGGACCACGGATCCAATTCGAACTTTTTTTTTCGAAGTTCGGCCGAGGTATTGGCGAGAAATGTTTATATAACGAAAGAATTCGAGTGAATATTACAGAGCACCGTTAATCGAGTCATTGACGAGTCGCGATCAACAGGGTAGATTGCTGTTCTACGATCTTTACGTAGATACGCCGTCGATATCGTCGGCTTGTCGCGTGAATCTGAAACCACACTGTCATATTTACGTAATGATGCGATTGCAATGTACTTGTTACATTGTCTTCAACGAATAGCATGTGTACGTAATATTGATTATCGTGAATATGAAGCTCAACGAAAGAAATTTATAGATGCTACTAAGATTTTAGAATACCGATTGTACAGAAAGGGTAGAAATATGTGCACAGAAGTTAGTAGCACAAAACTTACTGAATGGAATTAATAATGCGTGAGAACAAGTTCACAGATGTTGAGTAGGATGAATGCACCATTAGATGAACATTATACATAAAAACGAGTAAATTAAGTTATTAAAATAAACAAATGATTAAATATTGACTTTGTCAATTCCTTGTTTTATATTCAATTTTTTTATATTATTCATTCACTAATGATATCTGCATTCTTTCATATAAATTTATGTAATTGATTATATAAATTTTTCAAATTGAAATTTATACGTTACAAAAACCGGTATAGATACTAAAAAATCTAATTTTCATAAGCCCAAAAATGTATTAAAATTAATATCATTTAAAATACGACTTTAATAGTTACAAAATCCCTTAAGTGTTCATTCATTGATGCGTTTACCCGGCGAAGAAGTAAACGGAAATCGCCGAGTAATAGTCCAATTAACAATAAGAACTATTCAACGTTTGTAAACGTCCAAGAATCCCCAATGAATGGGATTGATTGTAGATGATGAATAATCTACCACTAATTTAACACTAAGCCTGCCACGACCGTTCAAATGACCGGTTTTACCGTGCTAATTCCTGCTTTTTTGAAGGATCGGTAAATTTTTAGCGTCAAACAAAATAATCAAAAGTCTGTCTTCCAAATAAGTGAAGATCATTCGAACCATGGATTATCCCACAAATCGTCTGCCATATTTAAAGCCGTCAGATTAACCGGTATGATGCCCGTGTGATAAAAAAACAGATGTGTTACCATCAAATTATTATCTAATCGGTGAACGGGTTTAGCCCACCGTCGTCGTCTGTGTCTCCGAGCGAAACCAAAAGAAAAAGAAAAACAGAAGAATCCGTAACGTACGTTAAACAATGACGAGATATCGGTACGGAACGTAATCGTCGCGAAGAAGGGGCGCTCGAACGAGTCGCAAGCGACCAGCGCAGCGGCGTCGTTATCGGTATTATCGAAAACATTTCTTTCATTTCTCATTGCCGATACTAGCGGCTGGCCCTGGTAAACACCCGACGACCGCCGCGTTTGCCTTAAGCCTCTGCCTCTCAAAACTGATACAGACGCCCCGTCATCCGTTCTCGAATGATCCTCCGTGTTTCGCGACGTGAGTGCTCCACCAGCATCATCGTTCGCCGAAGTCGACGAGCGTCGATTTTCGGACGGGTACACGGCGCCAGGGATCCGTCGCAGACTCGTGGCAGTTGAATCTAACAGCACTGTGAACGACCCGATAAGGTAAGAAGATGACCAAAAACACCAATCCCGAGTATCTCCTGATGGCGCAAGCTCCTTCGTCGTGGGACGTTCCAAAGATGATCACGGATTTTCGAAAGGTACGACAACGATCACGCGAGTGTTTGCGTTTTTTTTTTTCTTTTTTTTGGACGACAGTGAACGTGGACCCAGTGTCGAGGATGAGCAAAACGGTGCATTACGCGTTGGTAGCGTTCTGGGAGAAGTCCGGGTGTAAGATCGTCGCGGATTATCCGGCCAAGAAGGACCCAGCTTACAGGGCAATAGCGTTGAGCACGGTGGACGGCTTGAAGTCTCTGGAGAACGATAAGATCAGCCTCGATCGGGGCAAGTAAGAGCCTGCACTTTGATTGCGGTGAATACTGTCGCGATAGGTGCCGGAACAATCGGTGCTTCAGCTTCGTGATTCGTGTAGAGCCGAATGAGGAAGGTTCAGTGGGTAGGGGTGACCAGGGCTAGTTGAATAATTTTTAACATGTCTGATTATAACAAAGGAACCATTCATATTTTGTTGACTCGATGCATACCAAACGCTCACATATTTACTTAGGTATACAAGCCTAATTTTAAAAATCGCTTTAATTGAGCCTAGGTTGTAGTTTTTGTCATATTTAGATTCTGGGGTTAGTTGACTAATCATTTACTTTTAAATGTTTAAGAACAAAATACTGGTACTAAAAAAAATTAAACGTTTAATTATTCGTATATATTTATTCTAACGAACTAAATGATGATTTGTAGGAAAGATTAGGTCCATTATCGGCCTACCAGTCATAATTTGAGTCACAGATAATGCACACATAACACACTATATTAGAGCTGATGCAGTTTTTGTGAGCCCATCTACGAACGCTATCACTGTAAAGTTTATTAAATACTAAGCATTCTGTATCATATTCCGACTCTGGGGATAATCCCACCTATGCTTAATCAAGTAACCCCGACCGAGATTTTAACATGTTAATATCAAAACATCGGATAAAATGAACTACCGTAAATTATAGTCAATGCATCACATTTCCACAAAATATGTATGAAAAAGTATTATGCAGTACTAAATGGACAGACATTCATAAATAGTCAGAACAAAAATATTTACTCGTCTCTGATATTTTTAGATTTTTTATTCTCATTGATATAACACGCGAGTTTCTGTCACGGCGAGCATTGAAAGGCGAGATAGTCATTCGTATTTGTCAATATCGCGAATAAAAGCACCATTTATTCTATAATAGAATAGTTAAAGGGAGTTAGTCAACTAACCTCATTAATCAATAAGGCTGGTCTCCCTTTGTCTGAATATTTTGCACGAACAGAAGATTCAGTGTTTCTATATATCGGAAAATTTCGTATGCATGGAAAGTGTGATGGTGTGTATTATAAATTAACAGCAGGATCATCTGTTAAAATAAAAGATTCTCCCTCATCCAGGTACACAGTGCACGTGTTGATCGGCGAGTTACACTACGCCTGTCTAACGTCCAAGCCAGAATGTCCTTCGTCCGCCGCGAACCTCGAGTCCTGTACCCAGATGTTTCTCGAAAAATTGCGGAGTGTGTACAGGGAACTTCCGATTCTCGCCGATCTTTCTAGGGATCTGACCAGTCTCGCCGTGATCGATCTCTCGACACCGCTGAGAAAGTTAGTGGTGCGTTCAAGAACTTGTATCGATCGATTTAATTCAGCCTGCTCGGAGGCTATTGGGTGCATAAATTAATTCCTTTGGCCTTCTATACATAGATCTCTTGTTTATTTACAACAACAAAAGATCAAAATACAGTCTAGTCTGGAAAATATTTCCCATCATTTGTCTATAAATTTACTTCACTTCTCTGGCGAATCCCCTCTCGATGAAAAGTAATGACGATTTTCAGTCAATTATGGAGGCCACGAATTAATTTGTACACCCAATAAGTCTGGACTAAACCTTGGTGGATTAAACGAGTACCGTTTTCAGGAGGAGTACAATCAGCAGGAGATCGATCTAATTCCGAAGCTTGAGGGAGAACTGGCGGAAATACGAAAGGCTTTGATGGATGGTGTTCAGAAGCTGATCGACAGGGGCCAAAGGCTGGAAGAGCTGGTCCGTAAGACTCAGAGCTTGCAAATCATGGTACGATCGATCCTACATATCCCTTGTCCGATCGATACAAGATCATCCCCCTTGGAAATTCGAATTCGTTAACAGACAAACCGTATGGTTTTTCATTTTTCAATTCCTGGAACGGTTCTTATCGATCGTTTTAGTAACCCATATTTCCACAGGATATTCATTGTTGAATTACAAGGATGGGGAGAGAGTTTTCATTGAATAACAAATTCACACCGCGTGCTCTCGCATATTGCGAATACGACCCCATCGCGTACCATTGACATTATTTATTCCCGTGGGGTACCGAGTCGAGATTACGCTCCTTTATTTATAAACGCTGAAAAGATATCGGACAACCATTAATTATGACAATATCGAGGGACGATTAACGCGGGTCACAACCTACTAAAACGCAAGGCCCGCCGATGCCACTGGATCGTGTTTTTTTCGCTTTTAATTATCGTCGCTGTGCAGAGACACCGAATTCTACGAAACCAATTTCGTTGGGCAACAAACTTTCGCGACCAGATAATCGCTCTGCTATGGCGAAAACACGAGACATTTTACAGTTCGACGTATCGCTCGTTTGCTTCAACAATGACATAACTCAAAATGTGCAGTTTTTCTAAGTTTGAAGCGATGGTCTAAATACAGGCTAGCACTTTTACTTCAGAACATATTGCAAAATCTGTTGATGATTTTTCAGATGTAACACTTCAATGTATCTACAACATGTTTGCGTCAACGAATTAAAATAAGCATCTTTTTTTCTTGAGTCGCAGTTTCAAACTATTACCCCCTAGGGTGAAGCATCTAACATGACCCTATACTTTCAACTAGCCCATATTTAGACCACCATCTCTATAGAAAGAACGGTTGTCTGCATTTTTTATCGGTCAAATCCTGTAATTGAGCTTCGTAAACTTTCCACGTCAGGACAGTCACTTTAAATATGATGTTCGCAGAAAATTATAACGATCCGAATATTTGAACTCCCTTTTCCCTAAAATCGTGATATTTCAGTTATTTCGTTATTGCAGCAAATGAGTGATATTATGTATAAGGCTTTTCAATTATCTTGATTAATTACCTCTATATTTTGTTGATGATCCAACGGAAAGTTTCGAGAAAAGTTAGTCCGTCGACATTACTGTGGAAGAAATAGTTAATATTATCTAATTTACAGTAGGTACTTCTGTCAGACTACCGAGTAATTGTCACTAATTAATTGCTGGTCGTAACTTACTTTGTACAGTCCCGAAAGGACTTCAACGTGATGCGGGCCACACGTAAGAAGAAAAACGTGATGGTCGCGACAGCAGCTGCGATCATGATGTTCGTGTCCACGTCGCTCTTCGCTTTTCTGCTTTACATCGGGATTCTCTGACTGCGGAGCCTCTTCCATCGTGCACAGACACATCGGAGAACGGACGTTCGAACGAGTCGCGTGTGCGAGACGTGTAATCGATACGTTCTACGAGATGTACGAGGAAATAAATTATTTATTGTCGTTTCTATTGAATTCCCAACTTCGCAGAGACAAGTATTTGTTCGTCCATTAAAATAACTTTACATACTATAACACGATTTTCAATCATTTATCTGAAGAAACCACATCGAGTAATCGAGGTCGAAATCGGGTTTGAATATCGACAGAAGTTCTCTCGGCATTTTCACTGCGAAGGTGTATCTGAAGCGTCGAAGAGCCTCGAAATCACGATCGTACGGTCTTTGGATCGCATGAATTTCCAACGATGGTTTCGGTTTTGCGATTCACGACGGATCTCATCGAGCTTCAAGAGGAAATCAAACTGCGAGACGATCTCGCCGAATCGATCAGACGCGAGCATTTTATCGCCGCTCGGAAAATACAGGTTAATAACCAACTCGAGGAGAAAATCGGGAATAGATCGGGAGTGACTTACGAGATCCTGAGCGCGCGGTGAAAGCACGAGCGATAACCCCTAGGTTCGAATTCTCTCTGCGAATGTTATCGTTCTCATCCGAGCGCGATTGAAGGTTCGTTGACGATAAAGCCTCGAGTGTCGTAACGATTGCTGTTCTCCGAGACGTCGATTATTCAAGGTCAAGATCGCGACAACCGACTCGCGTCTTACTCGATCTAGCGCGTTTCAAACTTACGCGCCTAACTTCCCTTCGTGCGTTAAAATCTCTACGTGGAAAAAAATTGTTCCTTAGCCATTGGACAAATACTTAGGATTCTAGTAATTTACTTAATTAATAGACTAAAAATTAACATCTAGAAGAATTACACAGGGTGTCGTGTAACTGATGGTACAATCAGGCAGGGGGTGCTTCTACGTGAAAAAATAAGAGGAAAATGTAGAATAAAATTGTTTTCATTTGAAGCTTCGTTTTCGAGAAAATCGACTTAAAAAATCTATTACATAGGCGTGCAATTGAATAGGACTTTGCTGGCTTGTCTGTTCATTGGATTCCGTTTCTACTTGCTACCATGACGAATACATACATATGCGGTTCGGATTAATATTCAAACTCGATTTTCTCGACAATGAGTGCTCGTATGAACAAATTTTATTGTATATTTTCGACTTACTTTTTCACATAGAATCACCCATCACCCGTTTGTACCACCAGTTACATGACAACCTGTATAGGGGAAGAACAATATAAAAAAATAGTCGAGTTGCAGGGGCGAATTAAGGGGCTTGTAAACCATTTTTTACAGTTAACCAGTTACAGTATAAAAGAAAAAACAGAAAACTGAAAATTATATTTATCTTATAATGATCACAAGTATACAAGTTTTATTAAATTGTAATGCTACTCTGGACTCAAAAGTAAAACGCTTTATATCATAAAAGATTAATCAAATGTTCGATCGTGTGGATGTAACCTTATTAATCAATTTTATTACGTTATATCGTACAACAAACTCACGTAGTATCGTAGCACGGTTTCACGTTCTAGGCGTGGATTCGTGGTATCCTGACCCGTAACCATCTCCGGTTGCTACACAAGAGCGCGATCACCATTCAACGGCATTGGCGCGGTTATTGTGTCCGTATTTTCGCCGATCGATACCTGGTCGAGCGTGTTCATCAGATGTGGCAGGATTATTACGATCGAATGGCGACGAGGATCCAGGCGATCTGGCGGGGTTATTGGGTCAGGAAAACGGTCCTCGATATACCGAAGATGCGACGATGGCTGGCGAACGTTTACACGAAGAACGGCGAAACTGTGGAGAATATGAAGAAGTCAGTATAGGTAAAAAAGAATAAAAAAATTTCCTGAATTTGTTAATTTCTTTTGTTACAGATTCAGGCGGTACGAAATCGAGCACATTGAACGTGTGATAGAGTGTGAATCGATGCAATGGATTCTCTTCATTCTGTTCAAGGTATACATGTACAGAGTGTGTCAATAAGAGCTACCATCTAAAATAATTAATTACCTGCTGGTTGTATCAAAAAACATTTTAATTAATTATATAGTATTTTAAGGGACGCATGGGATGGATACAATTTAATTTTTTTATCTTATTTCTTTTTAGATATGAAGGTGACCTCGAATTTTTTCGAGGTCAATGTATCTTTTTTTTAATACCATCATGCTATAGGTTGCTAAATTAGTCCTTCTATCGACGACAACGTGGAATTAAGAAAAGATGCACTAACCTTGAAAACATTCAAGATGGCCTTAATATCTTAAAGGAAATAAGGTATAAAAAAATCAAAGTTTACCCATTCGATGTATCCTTTAAAATGCTACGCAATGAAATTTGAACCGTTTTCTGATACAATCAATAGGTAACGAGTTATTTTAGATAGTAGTTCGTATTGACTTACCCTGTGTATTCTCGAGTTCGAATGAATTTTCAATCGAAGCTTGCTGAAACTAATTCATAATTTGTTGTGGTTGCAGCTTCATCATCTGTTGAGAACGAAACAACGGCCTGGTGTGATTACCAGAATTGACAAATCCCGTTTCACTTTCATCGAGGAGATGCTAAAGTGTTTCGAGTACAGACAGTATACAGGCAAGAATGTCAACTGTTGTCGGGACTGCGATATAGATCCTAAACGATCGTTGATCTTTCGTGGCACTTACTACGAACGATGCGAGAGAGAGATTCGTGAGATCGAAAAGGATTTACAAGCTGGAGCTGTGCCGATATTCAGAAGTAAGATTCGACGGGATCCAAAAGATGTAAATATCTACAATTTCACGGAACATTTTGACACGTAACGAAACCGTTTTTAGGTTTTCCGTACGAGGAACAGGAGAAATTGACGCGTAAAGAGACCAAGTGGTACAGGGAGGCTTCGTTGCACAACCGATGTGAAACAACATTGAACAAACTTGAACAGAAAGTAAAAAGGGAGGCGCCTATACCGAAAATCGAATCGAATTGTGATGTGTCTTGCGTTGGAGTGGACGAACTCTACGATGAAATAAAGAGAATGGATTGTCAGCTGAATAAAATTCAAATTAAATGCCCCATTCATAATATTGTACTCACAAGATAAGCGTAGGGGAATCCGAAACTTGGAGATTTAAAGGTGAACGAGGCATTAAATAAAAGAATTAGGACTATTGGGTTTGGAGAATAGCTGAACAGTAGGCTGACTGGTGGTAGAACTACTAGTTAAGGACTAATAGAGGGGTATCAGTTGAAGCACTTGAAACTAGAACTTCCAGGTGATATTTACACTAGCCAAAAGCAGTCACCAAATGGTACCAAACCACTAAGTAGATCGATCAACTGGAACCAGAGACGAAAGGTAGTAGATACGGAGCGAACAAAAGCACACAACAAAGCACAACACCAAGATATACGGAAAACTGTAAATTTTATTAATACATATTTCCTAAATGGCTAAATACAAAAAAAAAAACTACTACGTCGACTACTAGATTAATATATTACTACGTGTTAGGTACGCGCAAATTAGGCCTTGCACGCGAGAGGAACGTTGATCGGTCGCGACATGGAAACGGATTTCTGGCTGAGGTCTGGGTTGGCGCCCTTCTCGACCCTCCTCTTCATGTTCAGGGAGGCCTCGTTACGCTCCATACAATGGAACTGGTAGTTCTTAGTCTTGGTCTCAATTGGGGAGCAGCCAGGTGCGCAGGAGACGACAGGTCGGATCGTGAAGCAGATATTGTCGTCGGTCTCCAGCACTTGGGTCCTGTGGGTGCTGCACCGTTTGTCGGACTGTTGTTGGTCGCCCTGATGGTAGCCCCATTTCTCGTTGTTCGACCTTCCAGCATCGACATCGCTGATCACGTTGCTCTGCACTGTCTTGGCGGGATGGGTGCATTCTTTCCTGGCCTGTTCAGCGGTCTCCCTAATGTCAGCATCGCATTGGTTCTTGTTGAGAGCGTAAGAAGCAACGAAGTGCTCTGGCTTCCTCATGACGCAGTTCTGTGGGCCCAAGAAGTCGTTGACTGCTTCACCATCGAAGTTACCGCAGAGACCACGAAGAGCGTTACGGTATTCATCGGATGCCTGAAAGTGTCATTCAGTTTCTGATTAGCTACCCGTCCTGGCTAGAGTAAGGGATAGAAAGGTGGCAATTAGTAGATTTCGTGAAATGTCCCTCTTACCTTGATCAGAATACGTTTTCCATCGAAGATAAGGTTCACGTCGTACACGTCAGATGACACGGCGATAGAGTTGTCCGCCAGCCTGTAGATCTCTAGCAAGATCTCATCGTCCTTCTGTCTTTCCTGATGGCTGATGTCCCGGGTGATCTGAATCTCGCGACCGTTCAATTGCGCTTGGGGCTCGTTCTCGCCGGGCACAAGCTTGATCTCCTGTTCTCCAAGCAAGATCTTGACCTCCTTGCGTCCTTCACGAGTCTCCTTGGCGAGGATGCTCACGCTCTGGTCCGAGGGGATACGAAGCTTCTCGTTGTGGTTCTCGGGATTCGATTTCGGGTAGGTTGTCATGGCCACGTGCCAGCAGTTGCCCAGTCTCAGAGGGTAGTCCCTGCCGTCGAAGGTCTCGGCCCTGGTCTTGTCGAGTATACAGGATGCTGAAAGGAATCGGAAAGAATTCATGATCGTAATTCAGAGTCATCGATCCACGGGATCGCATTCTTCGTTGTTTGAAGGTACTTACATTCGAGATTGTTCTCGATCACGTTCCTAACGTTCTCGTCCTCGATCATCAGATCATCGGAATTGATGGCAAGCAGTTCCAGGCCGATGTCCTTAACCTTCATGTCCATGGCGGGAGTGTGCACAGTCACGGCAGCCGTTTTCAGATCCTTCGAAAGCTTGGCCTTGATGTCGATCTTCTTCTTGTCGGCGTTCTTCGGACTCGTGGTGTCTACACTGGCGTCGATGTAATCGCTATTGCCGATCATATCCACGGCCATATTCATGAGGTCACGGAGAGGTTCCGATTGCACGTCGATAGACAGGTTCAGTTCGTCCCACATCTTGCTGGCGGAAGCAGCAGTCTGGCAGGCACGGAGGATTTTGTTGCCCTGTTTCATCTGTTCCTGGCAAGTTCGCACCGAGCGAGATTTCTGGAGCGTTTCCCTTAGTTCCTTGTTCTGAACAACCTGTCCCTTGATGTTAATCTGTTCGCCGTCAGCGCAGGTCGATCCGAAACGGATGTCCACGTCGATATCTCCTTTGGGCTGTCTCTTCATGGCGTTCTCGTAGGACGGGATAGTGTTAGGCGTACTTTCTGTCTGAGAAGCGACGCAGACCTCGTAATTGATGTTTTGCGTGGGCATACCTAGCTTCCAGAATAAGAGAACACGTTGCTTGTTCTCGACGTTGCTGTCGGACCAGGCGACGGTGAGGGCGTTGCGGGTCTCGAGTTCACCAGGTACCTGCAGCTGCATGTCCAATACTCCAGATCGGGCAGCCTTGATACCTTTGCCGACCTCGGTCAACAATTGTTTCTTGCGTTCCGCGCCGTTGAATTCGGTGTTGCTTGGCACGATAGCCTTGGCCAGCTGGGTCCATTGTTTAAGATCCTCGGAACCAGGTTGCACGTTCAGTTGGTCGAGAGACGCGGATAGGATCACTGGGTCCTGGAGATCGCGTTCCAGGTTCATGAACAGATCAGCCTTGCGGTACTTGTCGGTCGTCTGGGTCCAAGGGAATAGGATCGCGGTCTGTCCATCGACGCGGTTTGTGTTCCAGAACTCGTCGTTCGTTTTGTCACCCTCCAACTCCAATCGCAATGATTTGACGTCGTTCATGGGGATTGCTTGGGACTTGTACACGGTCTCTTCACCTTGGATCTTGTGAGTGTTCTTCTCCGTGAGCAAGGGACGTTTGCTGAAGATGTCGTGGCTGGAGGTGTACGGTACCACGCTGTAGTGCACCAGGCGCGCCTTTCCTTCCCCCTTCAGCGGCCAGAGTTTCAATTGCATGTTTCTCTTGACTGGACTCACGTCAAGGGCGACCCTCACGGGCGCGTATGTCTGGAAGCTCATGTCGACACCGGCGATGAAGTGTTGACGATCGAAGGGAGCGAGGAAACCGATTCTTCCTTGGATCTTCTTGGAGAACAGTATACGCGTGTCGGCCTTCATCGACAGGCTCATGTCACGATCGAATTTGACCTGGCCTTGTCCGATGATCTTGTAGAGGATTGGCATCTTGAACGTGTAGACGAAAGGTAGACCGGTTTCAGTGGGGAAGCTCAAGGTAACTTCGTAAGCCATGAGCTTGTTCTCGTTCAGGTAACCTCCGTTCTTCATGTCCAATGCACGAGTGCTGATCCCTGAAACATTACGATTAATAGTCACGTGGTATATGTTCGTTATTCCGTTCATCGTTAATTCCATCGCGAATTTTTATACTCACAGTTGGGAATCGTGCGGAGAGTCTGACTGTCGAAGGGCAAGAATTTGGTGGTGAACTTGCTGTTGAATAGAACGTTGCCTTCCAGCTTGATAGCCTCTTCAGGTACGATGTTCAGTTCCTCGGCGAGTTTCTCAGTCATCATAGGTCCAGAGTTTTTGTCGTCCTTATCCTTAAACATCGTCTCCAGGATAGGTTTTACGGTGGAGAGCATAGCAACCAGTTCAGTTGGTGGTGTCTTGAAGTCGCCGTAAGAGGAGAAGGATCCGACGTACAGAGATCGGGGGATTATGCTGTCGTCGCTGCCGATGTAATTGAAGATCATTCTGTTCAACATATTCTGTTCGCTGTTTATGGTCTCGGAGACGAATCCGCGAGAGTATTGGTAGCTGTAGTCGTTGGGGCTCAACAGATTGAGAGCGGCACGGGCTTTGCTGGCCATGTCCTTCCATTCTGGGCTGGTCAGCATGCTTATGCTCTGGATGGTGGTCTTGACAGCCGAGTTGACGTGTTTGTTCGTGTCATAATTGGTGAACTCTGCCATTCGTTGCAACATACCCAACGCAGGATTGGTCTTCATCAGAAGGAAGACAGCGGTGCAACGGACTTCGTGGGATTCCATGGTGTTCAGGTAGATCTTGTAAAGGACCGATCGCGCAATTTTCGGGTGTATCTCGGACAGTTTGCTGAGTGAAGCTACCATCAGAGTCCTCTGGAAAACGGTCACGGGTTCCTTTCCTTCCAAGAACGGTTCGAAGACAGAGAGAACCTTGGGATGTCCGATGCTACCCAGAGCCAAAATGTAGGTCTGGATCTTTGGGCTGTCGCCTTCCTTGATCGCGTTCTTCAGTTCACGAGCCAGATAGGGAATGTACTCTACGACGAGAGTAGTGTCGTGTTTGGATACAGGACGACCAAATGTATGCACTGGATAACGGTTGTGGATGATGCGTCCGTTCACTTGGGAATGACGGAGCAGCTCGGTGAAAGCCAGAATTGCAGAGACATGCAGGTGTTTATCCTTCTTAACTTCGGGGTTTGTAGCGAGCTCCTGAAGAGCAAACATTAAGTATTTTGGTACCACGCGCGATCCTCATTAACAGGTTTAGTCTTAAACTAAATTAGATGTCAAGTAATGGAATACTTACGAAGAGGGATCTGACATATTCAGCAGTCGGTGTGCGAGCGTTCTTCGGGATTCTGGAGACGATATCGGCAGCTTCCAGACCAACGACGTTCCTCCTCTCGATCCAATTCTTGATGGTGAGCAAAGCAGGTCCGGTACCAGCCTGGGTGACGGCGTCTCTGAACGCAGCCCAAGCGTTCTGCTTGGTAGCCTGCGATTTGTCGTTCGATTTCAGCTCGTTAGGCGAGATGTGCATGTTGTTCTCTAGCTCGATCAATTGCTTCCTGCTCATGGTGCGGATCAGGCTGGACAGGATCGTGAACTTCTCGAGAGTCTCCTGGTTGGGGATGTTGCTCGGGTCTTCGAGATCATTGGAGATTTGTAAAACGAGATCCTTGGTGACCTTGATGATTTCAAATTCTCCGGATTGGCCGATGTATTTGCCCCTATCACCAACGAAGTCGGGCAACAGAGGATTCTGGGGAGCGTCCTCCAAAGTGGGTTTAGGCTGCCAGAATTCGTTCTCCTCGCTGCTAGAGATCGAGCTGCTGGACGCGCTGGACGAGCTGGATCCTCGAATACGGGGATTCTGTCCGTTCTTGGCCGCCTCCTCGCTGGAGCTCACGGAGCTAATACTGTCGGAGGCCTGGTTCTGTTTTGAGTTCTGACCATCCAATGACTTGCTGAGTCTGCGTTCCTCCATGTCGGAGAACGGGTTGTTATAGACGTAGACAAGGTTGCCAGTGGATTCCGGGTTGGCGGGAGCAGACAGGGGACGCGAGATCTTTTTTACGTCTCCGAGGGTCAGGTTCATTCTGCTGACCACGACGCCGTTCTGCTCGTCGTAGAACCTGGGGCTGACGAACAACTTGCTGGTGGTGACTGACGATTGGATGGTGAACGCTTTCAGGTTACCAGAGATGATGATTCTGCTCGTGGATGATTTCTACGACATCGAGGATGCAAAGATAAGTCAGTTAGTATATATATATATACGAATTTAGATATACATACCAGTCGAACAATTATTCCACTTACCGAAAGGAATTCTCCGTTCTCGTTGCTGCCTGGTTCCCAGTTGGTACGTCCAGTGATACCGAAGTGGTAGTCCATACGTTGGTCGCACCTGCTGAAATTCTTGGTCTTCATGATGTCGATGTGCTGTCCGTCACCTTTCAGTTTGGGCATCGGTACCAGCTCGGGTTTCATGTGAGTCATATGCTCCGGGAGGGGCGTAATGTCGTAAAGGACCTCGCACTTTCCACCGACGCTGTCCTCCATGGCAAGGAACATGCCGTATGGTTGGTCGTCGTTGGGCACTTGCATGCTTCTTGTCCTGATCGCGTTATCACCCTGAGTGTCGACCTGAAGCTGACTGACGATCGACTTCAGCATGTTCACCTCCCAGGTGGGAATGTTCTTCTCGACGATCAGGTCCCGGATCACTCCGTGCTTGATCTTGATCTCGAACGGCTTCCCAGAGATCGGCAGGTCGCGGAGCTCCAACATTTGATCGGAGATCACCGAGGCCCAACCGTTCGGGAGGTTCTTGTGGATACGGGCTTGCTGACCGTTCCACACTTTCGCTGCCAGCGTGTTCGGGCCCTTCACTTGGACGGTCAGCAACGCTTTCAGGAGGACACCGGTGTATTGGTCGGATAGCTTGTCGAGACTAGCGAGCGTACGACTACGGACCAGATAGGTGTACTCGTTGCCAACACGCCAGCCATGGTCGTAGTCGGCTGAGACTAGTCCCGCTGTGAAGGGAACGAAATTATTAGTTTCCTAACAATAGACAAAGGTATATCCATGGAAAGGAAAGGAAGCTTGATTTCTACGTGTCTAAATCAAGACGAACTTATGTACGAGTTCTTGTAGGTAAATATTATCCTGTGATCCTATCAATATTTCTTTAAAACCTAGTATGATTAATTTAATTACAAGAATACGTGGTCTCGAGATTGATAATTTAAGGTTACAGTTTAGTGAAGATTAAATGGGATCTAGGAGATTCTGGAGATCTGTGTATATTGAATTCTGTTTGGAGATTCCAGAGGGCTCACTGGAAGTTTCCGCTTTCACTTACCAAATACCAAGAGTGTCAAAGGTAGCCACATGTTGAGAGCCGTAGAGCAGCCAGAAACTGATGCTGCATCCAGGCGGCTCTACAACATTTATACCTACATTGTGTCGTTTCAGCGAAAATATCAGTCAACAATGTTTGCATGAACTTGCTACTTTGACACGCAATTATTTTTAACGATAACGATTTTCTCCAGACTTGCTGATTACTAACAGGGGTCAAGCTCTAGTCACCTCGTAGACCTGATTCAATTTAATGGTATCTGATTCCGCGGTGTTGGATAGTCGATCGATCCACGAATATTGATCATCATACCGTTACACGTATTCGTACACTACACGTATTTATCGTACTTCACTTGTAAAATGAATGATCATTATAGTATCATACGTTCTATGTAAATTATAAATATTTTATGTTTGATACGGTATTGAACTTTCTAAATCGTACGTGTACTTTGCAATCTGACCGTCGCCTTATTAACTTTATTAATCTAGTTAAAAGAAACGTTCGAATCAGAGGAAGAGAAACAATGTTAACTCTGGTAAAAATTATGGGAACAAATCATTCTAAATAAAAATAGTGTGATGAAAAGGACACATTCTTCCCTTTAGGTTTAAATGTTACCTTTAGTGTTTATTAAGAAACTATGCTAGAAATTCAATTGATCTTTAAGTTATTTTAATATAAAGTATGATAAATAGTTATCGACAGCTGTTATAAGTTGTTTTGCTAATTTCCAGCATTAATTAATACTATTAATTGCGGTGCAAAAAATTCTACACGTGTAGCATATGAGTAATATATGGTACATAGAAGACAGCATGTGGGGTCACCGGTTCACGGCGATAATAATTACAAAGTGTAAACTTCCGTTCCATCCCAGAACGTGCTAGAAACTTTTTCCGTTATCATTATCCATTTTTTCCTGATTATAATTTCTTGCCTTGCGGGATAACAGATCCTGTTTGGAAAAATGGAAATTAATAGGACACGTGGATAATCGTAAAAACTACATTTCTCGTTGAAAAAAGTATAAACAAAATGAAAATTGGCAAGTCACCTGCATTTCCATTCAATTCAAATCGATACGCTTTAATTTAAATTTAATCTAATATCGATTTTTCGTTGAATCTTTTACGATATTTTCACATTTCTTCAAGTAACAGTCGGGAATTTCACTTTCAAATGACAAAGCCTCGTGTAAAAAGAAAAATAGTATTTATTAAAATATATTTCACATTCGTCATACTCTCATCTTCTATTAAACTACTTATAAGCGTCAATTTTAATTACATGATCTCTTTTATCGAATCAATCGATTTACTTTTTATGTACATACAATGTTCCTCTTATTCCAATGGGCATACATACAACGAATCGTATAACGATAGGCATTCATTTCACGAATAATAATACTTTAAATTATATCGCACCGCGAGTGCTTTTATAAATATATTCTCTGTTAAATATTAATTAGCTCGAACGAGAAGCGGTTTCCCAGCTGTACGACTGCCGCTGTCCGTATCGACGTCCATTTGCGAAATTGTCGCTTTTATGATTGTCGTCACCGGCTCGTATTTCTGAAACAGGAGAAAATTATTCGTGCAATAATTAACAATTATTCCTCCGATTTCTGTCACCGCGATTCAAAGTTTCAATATTTCAATATCCATGAAATCTAGAAGCATGCAACCGATTTTTACGAAAATATTATCGAGTGCTCGAATCGCCGTATCGCTTTTAATTTTAGACATTATTAAGTTACCAATTATATCCGTAAATATAATGATAACACTTATAATAAAATAATTTTTAATGAGATATAAGTACCAGGTCCGTGAATGATATCGAATCGAATCGAGACAGAAGCAATTCAGGACACGTGCACAGAGCCCGATAAAAATTCTGCACGTGCTTATCTGAATATTATGGCATTATCAGAATCTAGCTGCAATATCAGACGTGTCGCTTCCATTGAGGAAAACAGATTAGATTTTTTTTTACATACTAATTCGAGAAGTTACGATAACCGACATCCGGTCGTTAATTTCGATCCTACAACCGAATCACTTTCACTTCTCCACGTGTCCACTGGAATTGCGCAAACCACGGAAAAACTTCTTGTCGCTGATGCAGCATTCAATGATCATCGATATCTCGACCGGATGTTGTAACATTCGCAAACGTATCTTCTAGAAGTATCGACTACCAATCTTCGCAACAACGAATATCTTTGGTAAGTATTTACGAAAAGTAGCACCTTTCAATCTCGATGATTTTTTAATATATTTTCAAGATCATCACCCTGAGTAGTATTGTGAAGGTTTTACTTGGCGGCTGTTGATTATTAAAATGTTATCAACAATTTTTCATTTACATTTTCTGTTACTGGGTATGTGTCTGCCATTATTTTAAAAATATCATTTAATTTTTCGCCGAAATCAAAATACCTGTCCCGAATCAATTCTGAATTATTTTTATCCTTAAACTGTCTGTAACCAACTCTGAAGGATTATACCGATCAGAATTGGTTAGAGGCAGTTGTTTTATATAATTCGCACGTAAACAATGTTGGAGCCATGTAGTGTGTATTGTAGACTCAGACCAATAACATAGATGCATATTGTAAACAGCAAATATCAAACATATTTTTGCGAATATCTCAGAAACTAAGGCCAAGAGTGGGAGTTGCACGTATAAGAAAAAATTATTTAGAATAACATTCCAGGTGACGTATCCAAAAATCATTGACATCGGTGAGATGGACTCTAAACTGTATAATTACTACTTTTCTTAATAATAACTTATTAATAAACAACGATGACCAAATAAAATCTTCACAATACTACACAGGATGATTACCTTGACAACATATTAAAACATCATCGAGATGAAAGAGTGATACCTTTTTGGTAAATATTTACCATATCTTCTACCGTTCCACGATTATCTCTGGTGAAACTATCTGAACTATACCAAAAACTAGCCCTGTTGTAATTTCGGGAAACCAAATTCTTGCAAGAACCAATAACCAATAACATGTGCAAGAAGTGTGACAATAATATTTCGAGAATACTTTTCCCTTACGTCAAAGTGGCAAGAATGTAAACGGTCATATCCCCCTGCTGTGCAGCCTGATCTCTCTCCCCTCCCCTCTACCCGTCATACGAAAGGTGACCGTTGTCAATCGGTTCAGTCACTTTCTCAGTCGGTTCGCGTGAAGATGTGTTCGAATGAGTTCCGTGCCACGTGAAATATGATGGGCAATACGAGGTGTGACAATAAAGTATCGAGAATAGTTCATTTACAAATATCTTTTTTTAAAAATGAAACTGGGATATCGCCTCCCCTTCAAACTCGTTACACGCGATCTACGGCTGTTTAATTATTTCCAAGATGATAATGTTGAAACTGAATCATTCTCGGAACTTCATTGTCGCAACGAATCATCGAAAAAGGAAGAGGGTAAGCAACCATGAAATTGATGTATTATCGGAACACCGTTTAAGAATCACCTGTTCGACTTCGATTTCAACCTCCTGGAGGACCTCGTTGAGAACGGAGGCCAAGTGATTCACATTCTCGATCGTGAACACCATCGGCGGTTTCAGCTTCAGGATATTGTCGTCCGGCCCGTCGCTGCTGATTAGAACCTTCTTGTCCTTCATTCGCGAGACAACGTATTTCGCCTCCGCAGTCGCCGGTATCCTCGTGATCCTGTCACGTACCAGCTCGATCCCGACGAACAATCCAACGCCGCGCACGTCCCCGATGATTTTCCATCGTTTCGCGAGCTTCCGTAGTTCGGACATCAGGTACATTCCGACTTTGAGCGCGTTCTCTTGGAGATTCTCCCGTTCCATCACCTCCATCACGGCGTTCGCTATGGCGCAGGACACGGGGTTTCCACCGTACTGGAAAAGAAAGAAACTAAGTACAGTAAATACTCGATTAGTGTTCAAAGGAGCCTCGGCACTGAACATTAAATATTTCATAAACTAATGGCCATACGCGGCTGAAACAAGTGTCATTGGCTTCGAAATTCCAAGCTCTATCGCTGTACCAAACCTCATTAAAAAGTCGGTGTTACTATCTGCGGATATTTCCTTGTCAGTGTCGAGAAACCTTCGAACACTCATCCAGGATTTACTGTATAGTTCGAATATTTTGTAAAAGGGGCATTCCGCGCGAAATCGGACTCTTTTTGGAGTAACATTTCGGATTTTGTTGACACTTGATATATGAATATATGAAATATTGTGATATATACACGGATCTCGAAGAATTTTTGAAAATTTTCAACATTGTTGATTCTATAGCTGTGTGAAATATAGTGTCTCGCTTTCTCAGTAAGTCCTGTTCAACTAACAAACTTACTGTTAGACCTGTTAGAAATTAACACTAAAAGTTTCATCGTGTTAAAAAAAATTCTTGAAGTAGAAGCAAAATACAGAAAAACTGTTTTCGTAGGATACCTGAAATTACTATTACATGGTGCCAGTAATACCATTTTCAACGATGCCTGAAAGATATTTTACTTCAAAGCCAAAGTCTACGTTAATTTTATCCAGCGTGACAATGGAGGGTTAAATACATAATACGAAATTAAATTAAATAACGAGAAACAAGATCGTGTGTTTAACTCGATTGGAGTTTTGAAACTTCACCATTGAAACGACCATAAATAAGATAAATGTCCCAGTGATTGGACACTATCGTGAATTTTTGTTAATATTAAATTTTTTGAAAATAATACCGAACTTCAGAATACAAAATAATTGTCCTTAGTTATTTCTTAGCATAAATCATATAAAAATGTTCGCAAAAGTGCGATGTATTATTTTTAAAAAATATCATTTAGCAATCATGAACTTGAGGCGACATGAATGCCTTCGTAAATGTTTCGCTAATTATATTAAATTTGTTACGTGTTTATTTGAATTTTTACAACATTAAAGAAAAGTATCATGTTTTACTATTAAAAATCAGCTATGAATAATTTATCGAATGTTATGTCCAAACACTGGAACAGCTAAATTTAATCACTCGGCCAAATGAACGCTTTTATATATTCATAAATAATCCTTTTTTTCACGTGAACGCTTTCTTATAACGGCTTGTCTGGAAGAAGAAATTCTGCTCCATCAAATGTACTTTTTTGCCAAGCTATAGTATTTTAATATATAAAAAGTCTTCGTAACCGCAATCTTCGCCTTAAACGTACAACCACTGGGACATTTAGCTTAATAGGTTTCTCTAATAATTACCGTATTGAAGTACTCGATACCAGTGTCCTTAAAGCTTCCTGCGATCGCAGGGGTCGTAATAACAGCGGCCACGGGGTGACCATTACCCATGGGTTTCCCAATGGTGACGATATCCGGTACAACGTCCTCGCCGTATAATTGGAAGGCCCAAACGTGGCTGCCGACTCTACCGAAACCGACTTGGACTTCGTCCGCGATGCAAACACCGCCATGCTCGCGAACGTGTCTGTGTTCATTGGGAAAATTTCACAATTAAAAAATCCGTTTGAAATTTCAGATGAACAATTTTCGTTCATTACTTTTAAAAATTTTAACATTTAATTTTGAAATAAAATCTTTAAATTAATTTAAAAAATTGTAAAATTTAACGGGTACCTGTACACGTTCCTGAAGTAATTCTCCGGTGGCAGAATTTGTCCACCGACGGACATCAAGCTCTCCGCGATGTACGCGCAAACGCCTTTCCCTTGAGATTTTAGATTCTGGCAGATGTATCTCACGTCGTTCGCATACATCACGCCAAGATCCTCGCCAGGATAATCGGTCTCCCGGTACTTTCCCCGATAGACGTCTGGACAGGGCGCCTGGAAAAAGATCAGGATAAATTGATTTGACCCTGAAGGCTACTGTCTCTTTAACACTTACAGAATTAACCCATTCACATCATATTCAAGTACCTGCAGAGCTCACTGGGGAATGATATTTAAATAATCTTACAAGGGAACATATTGAACCCAGACACGTCGATTTTTATGCCATTTATATGGAATATAGTTTACGAAAAAATATTTGTCACATATTTTTTATATCGGCCTAAATGGCCTTTTAAAACAGTCCTTAAACCTGAGGGGTTGAAAATATATTTTTTTAAAATTCTCTGGAACTGGAGGGTATAGCACAAATTTTTTTTTTAAATTGTGTTTTTGAATGGAGAATTTAATCATATCAACGATTTTCTAAAAAATCATTTGTTTAAACATTATTTAAAAAATTTGAATTTTTGTGTCAATTTTTCTTTTTATATGTTATTTGATTTTCATGTTGATTATTTTTATGTAAACTATGGATGAATATGGGAAATACTTCATTTCATAGAGACTGAGTGAAAGCTGTGCATTTAATTATTATTGTTATACGGTATAGAACAGAAAATCCCAAAAACGCGTATTTCCTTTGGTCCATAATTTACATTAAAAACTGGATATGAAAATCAATTAACATTTAACAAGAAAAATTAACAAAAAATTCAGACTTTTAATATATTATTTAAACAATTGATGTTTTCAAAAAATCGTTCATATGATTAAAGTTCCTACTCGAAGACGCCACAATTTAAACAAGAAGATTTTTGCTATATCCTCTAGTTTTCAAGATATTCTAAAAAATATATTTTCAGCCCTTAGCTTTGAAAGCTGTTCTCACCCCTTCAGTATGAACGATTGCCGATGTAAAAAAATACGTTTCAGATATTTTTCGATAAACTATATCCCATATAAACGGCATCAAACTCAGTGTGTCTGGGTTTGATATTAGTATAATTGTTGCCTTAACTAAATTCGTCATTTGTTTTCTACACGATAATAAATTCACGCGAGTTCACTGATCGCTATATGACGTAAATGGGTTAATCAGTGTGTTCCATTTAAATTTGCACTTTTTGTTTTTCTTCAGGTTTCGGAGACAAAATGAATCAGCTGTAAGTAGATCTACTCACCACGTGAACCCAATCCTTCTTGCCAGGGCTGTTCGGCTTGTTGAACTTGTACGGCGATATATCGATCATCGAGGTCAAATGGCCGTGATACGCACTAAAACCAGAAAGAACAACTTTGAACGAAACGTTCCTCGTATCACCGCGTCTCGTCGTGAAACTTTCTCTTTGCTCGTGAAAAAGAAACAACACGTTCTTTTCCGGGGCAGCTCCCTGTCGTTGTCATTCCGCGAGAAAAGAAGGGTCTCTCTTTCGTCTTCCTGAAAATGTTATTCGTTCCTTCTCCTCTTCCTGTTCACTCGTCGACGATCGTAATTGAGAATATAGAAAGAAATGTTTAAGACAAATTTTAAGGTGGGGACACGTCGGATCGAACTGTTCTACAACCGAGCACGTATACACTTCACACTGTCAGCGTTCCGTAATCGATAAAAAGAAAAAAAAAACGAGGCAAAGGGGAGTGCAGCTGGCTGGCTCAAAGATGCAAGATTACGTTATCAACGAAACCTAATTTCGTCTGATGGGCCTGCGATATGCGCTCGTTGCAACAATGATCGTTTGCGGGTCATTTGCGAAGCACTGTGTCGTTCGAAGCGATAAAATGGCATGGAAGAGTACCGGCTGGCGTAGATGCGGCGTGCGTGGATGCGACATGAGGTTAATAGTCGACGTAGATACTGTCACAAATTCCTCCTCGAACCCCTGATACCCTGCCGGAGCTTCAAACGAAACCATTAGATCCAATTTTTCGTCTCATCTGAACCAAAATTTATTAACCAATTTCATTAAAATATATTAATATTAGTGTGCTGCCGCATTCTATCCAAAATGGCGGTCGGAAGTAGTTTTCAAGCTACTATACCTTTAAATATACGCATTAAGACTACAACGAAGTAGATTACAATTACTCCGTTTATGTTACTCGTATTCTCTATAATGCATAGTGAAGTGACTTTCTTTTTATAGGTATATCTACACACGAAACTGGTATTTCACGCAATTCCACGTGAAACCATAGTACAGACTCCTCTCGATTATCGTCCCTAATTTGGGTCCGCGCCGGGACAATAATCGTATAGGGAGAAATGCTTCAGACCTTCGTAAATTCGTTTCTTGCCCGAAGCCGAGTTCCCCTCCCCCCAGTGCTGGAGATAACGCCTGGACAATAATCGTGTAAAACAAGCCTGACAATAATCGAGAAGAGTCTGTACCTATTGGAATTCCAATACTACATCCTCTTCCTTAATTACAACCTGAAAAATCTGAATCGATCTTTAACCCCCTATTTGTGACAGTACCTGCGGCTCGACAACGTAATCTCACTCGAGTAATTACAATTTTAAGCTGACGGAAGCCCCCTTTCGCCCCTTGTCCAACACACACTTTTCGATTCGTTTCCTTCGAAATCGTCAACATTCATCTGTGGACGTTAACTCCTGATTCCTTGTCCTCTGTCTCTCTCTCTCTCTCTCTCTCTCTCTATTATCGCCGTGTAATGACACCATTCCCTGTTGTTTCATTGTCGTTCAGTGTCACCTAAAACGGCAATAGGTTTATGTCGCGCGGACCGTACGGCCGCCTTAGGCGGACGGACAGTATCGTCGGTTCTTGATCTCGAATCCCCGTTCGCCAACCCGGTCGATCCATCCGGTTCCAACGGTTCGTGTACGCTGTAAACAGGCAAAAAAGAAACCCACACGATTAGTCGACTGTTGGGAGTGGGCACGTCGAAAACTGTTACACGTAGCCTGAAACAGCGAGCCCGCTGGTGTGTCGTTTTACACCCTCTCGTCATTCTAGGTACACACGTCTCGGTTTTCTCGATTGGCTACTCGCAGAATTTCTCGACTACGCGTTCTCGAAGAGTCCGCGTGACCGAAAGATGAACGGAGCCTTCCCTGGAAATCTCTCGGACTTCGTCTTTTGGTCATCTCGGCTGTAATTGGTGCAACGGGTCGCAAAGATATATTCGTCGCACTTCTGATCATTGACCGATCAGGCTAGACAGGTAGCTTTAGCGAAAAGAGATGATTTCTTCGTAATTTCTTATTACGGTGATACTACTGTGAGAAAAACTCGAGTCAACTGTCTGATCGCTTCGAATTAGGGAGGGCACGAATAACTCTTGCGACACGGTGCACATTGGATATCGAATAAAAGCGAAAAGCAGCGAGGCACTGTGGTGGAATGCAGCGCTACGAAACTCAATTGGCTGATCGTAGACACTCTCTGCCCTCGTCGATCAGAGAAAGCAAGAACCTACGGAACTTCGACGATATTCGAGGCACTGTTTCTCCTATTTACTATTTAACAAAAGAAAACAGTTCGTAGACGAAAAAAGTACTCTACAGTTTTAATTTGGCGTCTCATTAATAAAATAAGAACGACTCGTCGGCGCGTGTTACAGCGCTCTGACGTAATTGGCAACGAGAAAGCGGCGCGGGATCAGCCAATTGAGTTCGTTCCAACTACGTTCGACAATGTCGAAATAACAACGAGTTCTCTGATCGTGTCGCTTTTTACGCAAGCATTTCACTGCATGATAAAAAAGTCGTTGTTAATTTTCGTATGAATTTTCCGAACGATCGAATGATCAGATCGTTCGATCACCAGATCACTCCGTGTTGGATCATTTTTGGCGCGATGACTTACTGATCGAGAGTGATGATGTCCTTGTTTTTGGTGTGCGTCTGAGCGAGACGGAGGGCGAGATCATTGGCCTCGCTGCCGGAGTTCACCAGGAAGCACACGGACAACGGTTCCGGAAGGAGCGACGTCAATCGACGCGCGCAAATCACCAGATCGTCGTGCAGGAAACGGTTGTTCGTCGAGAGCAGAGCCATTTGTTCTTGACCGGCCCGCACCACCGTCGGATGACAGTGACCGACTGTAAAGTATAAGTCAATTCACTTCATTCATTTCGGTCTTTCAAAATTCACCGTTTTTATCTTCATTAAAATACTTTAACGATTCCGTTAATTCATAAATTTCTAATCGCTCCGAGTCCATTTCCTAATCTCTGATATCTTAATCTCGTGAATCAACCTATTGTAATTTGTGAGTATTTTACCATTTAGAATTTATCATTTACTTCTTGTTCACCATTATCATTTAGCCATTTAACATGTCTCATTGACAGTTCACAATTAATCATTTACCTACAAACATTGACGATTTCCAAAGTATAGCTATTGTACTGCTATTCGTAGTGTACCATTTACCATTTACTCATATCCTTCCTTTAATTAAAAGCTTCACATTGTACTGCCATTCTTAGTGTACTATTTAGTTTACTCATATTTTTTCCTTAATTAATACCTTTACATTCCACCGCTATTCTCAGTGTACTATTTACAATTTACTCAAATTTTTTCCTTAATTAATATCTTTAAATTCTACCGCTATTCTCAGTGTACTCTTTATAATTTACTGGTATTTTTCCCTTCATTAATACCTTCACATTGTACTGCTAATCTAAGTGTACCATTTACCATTTACTCATATCCTTCCTTTAATTAAAAGCTTTACATTGTACTGCCATTCTTAGTGTACCATTTACGATTTACTCATATTTTTTCCTTAATTAATACCTTTACATTCCACCGCTATTCTTAGTGTACTATTTACAATTTACTCAAATTTTTCCCTTAATTAATAGCTTTACATTGTACTCATAGCTCCCTGTATCTCTTTCTATATCGTTATGCAAACGATATGCATTGCATATTTTTTTATCATGTGATTATAGAATATTCATGTTAGTTCAAGGTGTGCATTTTCATACCATGAGCAACGTTGTTGATGCAATCCAAGTAACGATTGCCCCTCTCGTCGTACATGTACTGGCCCTCCGCCCGGACGATCTTGAGGGGGTTCGATTTGTAGAACAATTGGCATGCCTGCCTGTAAACCGATTATTCAGTCTGTATCGTTCGCTTGTTCGCGCGCGCGCGCGCACACACAATCGTAGGCCGGTTGTATCGCCGGAGCTAATATTGTCTCGAACGATAACGTCAAATAAGAGGAACGATTAGGCGAATATTTACCCGATATGCCGCTCTCGAAGCCTAATCGTCTCCGACTTCGGCATCTGTTCCAACGACTCTGCCATGGCGGAAGACCTGGGATCAGAAAAATTACATTCGAATCGTTTTCTTTACCACTCGAATCGGTTGTATTTCAATTATGTTCAAGTCGAATCTGTACAAGAGAAGTTTTTTTTCAATAACATTAATATACATCTGTTTGAAAGGAGCTTCTTGGGGACTAAAGTACATAAATATCCCGCTAATTATATATTAAGATTTATTAGAAATGTATTCGAGAGTCCTTAAGGGAATTTTTATTTCCTTGCAAGAACAAAGTAATAGTTGAATAGATGTTTCTTTTATCCAGTATTAAGTTTACAGTAGTTGTCAGCCCTGGTTGCGGAAACCAGCTTCCGCCATAAGTACCGTTTAAATGTTGATTAACATTAGATCTACCAGTGACAAACGTATATCTATTTCTATCGGATCGGTAAACGTTACTTTTTTTAGTACATAAATTTATAGATTAACTAATATATTCACATTTCATATTGCTATAAAAGTTGTAAAATTTCGACTACTTTGGTGGTTCGACTGTCAGTTCAATGAAATATGAGATGAATGGCGACAAGAAGGCTTATCTTATTGTGATTGATAATTTGACGAGCAACTGATACACCGAATCTAGGAATAAACTGTTACATATCGTTCGTGTATCGATGATTTTTCAGAAGTTTCTAGATCGAAACCGACGCGAATACGAGAAGTCTATCAGAAGCGAATACACTGTGAACGATAATCTTTCTGTAGGAACAGCGGTATCGGCCATTCCCCATGGGATAAGTAACTTTCCGACGGCTGATAAGTGCACGTGATTATTACGTGGAAGTAGTACTTCCATACGGTCTTTCGTCCATAGTCCCCATGCCTCGTGATAAATCGCGTTATAGAGAAAACCGTATCTCCTCCCGGCGAGATATTGTTCTATTCCAAACCAATTGGTATTTAATCGACATACGATACTTCAGTCATTATTTTTATATATAAATTTGTATAAATAAATCAAAAGAAAATTCTGCGACGATATAACCGTCGAGAATTGACGAAGAATGAATCCTTGAAGTCTTATTTCTATTTCCGTACCGTTTTTCGGTTTATTTCTCTCCTGTGAATCCTGATGGCCAATTTTATGTAAAAAAGAAAAAAGAAAATAGTGGTAGAATGTCAATAACTTGGAAGAAGATAATCACAACGATGTAGAAATAGAGAACGCGCGCGCGACAAACGAGGTAAGCATCGATAAAATGTTTCTATGCGAACAAGTCTGTAAAAGAGCTGCCGAAATGATATCTGTTTATGTACAACGATAACCGGTGGTGATTATAGTACAACGTATGTTTGTTATTACGGAGTTATACGTGCATTCAGGCATAGTTCCCCTTATGAAATAGCAAAGATTTTCTTTTCGAATAAAAGTATCATCCAAAGAAGTAAAATAAACGTCAACTTTCGCTTTCTTTTTCTTTCTAAACGCGATAGCCGAAAAAAAACTAAACGACAGCCTGTGCTTCGCATAGCTCACAACGTACAGAAAGTTTCGCGAGACGCCTCGACGAGCGGCAAATTTCAAAAGGACACCATAATAAGTTATGTAATCCAAGTGCGTAGCTTAGGGGACAACCCGAAAGCCATTCCTCATCGCGATGTAACATAACGATTTCGCGAGACACTTCGATAAACCGATAATTCGAAACAGAAACGAACGAATTATGTAACGTAAGACGTAAAAAAAAAAAGAAATACTAACGTGACGTGGGAAACGGCTCGAGGAAGGGACTCCCTCTTGAATGTGACCGAACCAAAACGAAAACGCAAATTAATTATAGACGGAAGACAATGGTAAACGGTGGCGAATGAACGGATTGACGAAGTGACGTTCGCGTGCGAAAGAGAGAGACAGGAAAGGCCGGAGCAAGAGAGCGTTTCGTCATCGCGAAACGCCCACGCGAACCGCCTGACGCGAACAGAACGGAGTCAGCGAGATCGTACCTGAACCCGTACGGTAATCGTTAAGTCACGGTTCCTCGACTTCTGAATGCAGCCGTCAGCTGAGTGCCGCGACCTACTCCGGTGACGTCATATATAGAGCTTGCCGATTGTCGGGAAGAAAGCGGGGGGCTGCGCGCGCAGTGTCCTCTTCGCCCTAAAGCGATATTAGAACGCTTTGCCTCCACCGATCCCCCTCTACCGTCGCTGCCGTCGACGCTTTCGGCGCGGTTCTATCTTCGAATTCGTAATCACGAACCTACCGCGCGTCAATGCAGGGCTACGATAATAGATCGATCGTTTGTTTTACCTTTCCATCACGGTCCTTCAACCTTCTTCGAATAAACCTTACATCAAAGAAAAGAAAGGATGGACCGTGAACGTTGAAACGCCGTTCCTTTGAACCTCCTTCGAGTGAACCTTATAGCCTCTACTACACCTGTCGGCCTTTTTGAACGGACAGGGTGGCACGTGAACATTGAACTAGGGACGACCAAATCTCCTGAACCTCTTTCGAATGAACCTTATAGCCCCTACTACCTTTGGGCTCTTTTAGGTGGAAGGATGGTTCCTGAACCTTGAACCGCCGTTCCTTTGAACCTCCATCGAGTGAACCTTATAGCCTCTACTACACCTGTCGGCTTTTTTGAATGGACAGGGTGGCACGTGAACATTGAACTAGGGACGACCAAATCTCCTGAACCTCTTTCGAATGAACCTTATAGCCCCTACTACCTTTGGGCTCTTTTAGGTGGAAGGATGGTTCCTGAACCTTGAACCGCCGTTCCTTTGAACCTCCATCGAGTGAACCTTATAGCCTCTACTATACCTGTCGGCTTTTTTGAATGGACAGGGTGGCATGTGAACATTGAACTAGGGACGACTACATCTCCTGAACCTCTTTCGAATGAACCTTATAGCCCCTACTACCTTTGGGCTCTTTTAGGTGGAAGGATGGTTCCTGAACATTGAACCTCCGTTCCTTTGAATCTCCTGCGAGTGAACCTTATGCCTCTACTACATCTGTCGGCCTTTTTGAATGGACAGGGTGGCATGTGAACCTTGAACTAGGGACGACCACATCTCCTGAACTTCTTTCGAATGAACCTTATAGCCCCTACTACCTTTGGGCTCTTTTAGGTGGAAAGGATGGCTCCTGAACCTTGAACTTTGATCCACTATAACCTATGAGCCTCTTGCGAGTAAATGTTATAACTCCTACTTTCTATAGGCTCTTTTAGTTGAAAGGGATGGCTCTTGAATGTTGAACTTTGAACCGCCATGTCACTTGAACCTTCTTCGAGTAAACCTTATAGCTCCTATTATGGTTTCCTTTAGATGGAAAGGATGAACCTTAAACCTTGAACTTCGAACCACCATATCACTCGAACCTCCTTCGAGTAAATCTTATAGCTCCTACTACCTATTAGCTCTTTTCGGTGCAAGGGATGGCTCCTGAATATTGAACCATGAACCACCATATCCTTTAAGGCTGTTTCGAACACCTTGATACATAGCTCCTATAAGTTAATCTCAATGGAAAGGTTGGCCCCTGAACCTTGAACTTTCGACCACCATACATCCCCTGAACTTTAAACCTGTTTTGATAGGGAGAACGAATTAGCACGTAATCGATTTCACCTTTCAGTCGCCTGTACTCTTATCGTTAAACACGTTCCCTGTCACGTGGGGATCGCGTACGTGCGCCCCATATCTATGCATTGTACTTTGCATTCAGGCCATTGATGTTTTCGCTGTTATATGGAACACCAGTGATCCGATAGTTTACAAAATCTTGAACTGATAGAGGAAGCACGCGTTATAGCAGTGTAAATGTTTATTAAATAACACCGAGTCGTGGTAGGGGATAGGAAACTGAATAGATCACTGACGCCACCTTCCATCCCCTTTCACCCGCCTGTTGCCGCTCGTACTGCGATCGCACCAATACAAACAGATCGTCACGGCCGAACTGGCGCGTAGCTACTACGCTAAAGCAAATATGTAATGCGTCGAGCGCGTCGTAAGAGTGGAATTGTTCGTTAGATGAAGGAAGTGTTTGAACGAAGCGAAATAGATTTACGCAAGAACCTGATGGATCGTTTTTTCCCTATGAGAACAGAGACGAGGTTGGCTTTATTTATTTTGTTTTTCTTTTAGCGAAGGAAAAATAACCATTTAAACAAGCCAACGTTGCTGTTGTTCATACTATTATAGGGCCATTTATACGGAAAAATTCAACCGATCTATGAAGTAGAGAAATTTAAAGTAAAAAAAATTAGTTAAAAATATTTATCTCCTACTTCCAATCCCTATCAATGCGAAGTCAAGCATGAAATTCATCGGGACTCTAAAAATGGCCGCCACCGGAATCGTACCTTCGCTCCATTGAAATCGCCTACCGTGAATTATGCAAAAATTCCAATGGTTGTGACGACTGTAGAGACAAAAATAGAACGATTAGAATGTCTGTGAGAAATAAAAACGCAATTACTGTTGCAAGAATGAATACTAAAGCAGGTGTAATGGATTCGGGTCGGTGAAAAAACAATCGACACGAACTTCCGTAAAGAATTACAAGCATTCTGACGGAATTCCAAAGACTGTCGTCGATTTAAAAGGTAAAGTAATAACACAAAAGTGAATTAAAATCTCGAGCGATCCAGTGAATAACAAAATGGAAACGATCACGATGACCGTGACAACTAGGCGCGTAGGCGAACTGCGCTTGATCGTAGGTAAGATCGAGATTGCATCAGAAAAAACATGATCACCAGACAGAATAATCGCGAACAATACAGAGATCATATAAAGGGTTTAGAAGCCATTTAGTGTAAGTCACTCTTTCATTAAAATTGACATATGTTGTGTAAATAAATTTTCATATGTATGTATCTTATAAATAAAAATTATTTTTTTTATTTGTTAGTAGCAGTTATTGCTTTTTTACAGTCCATTTTTTAAACAATGTATTTCTATTAACTTACTTTGTAAGTTACACCGATTGGCTTCTGAACTCTCCATATAATATCCAGGGACTTAAACCGGTATGATTTTAATACCGGTATTATGCCATCAAAGCTATATCGAAACCGACATATTATCGAAAACCGAAATAAATATCGGTATTTTTTCGGTTTCTATAAGGGTAGGGCTTATATAGGGTTATATAAGGCGAAGTTACAACCGAAAATACCGGCATAATACCGGTATGATACTGGTATTTTAGTCTCTGACAATATCGGTAGCAAATATAGTTTCGAGTATTGAAAAATGAGCTTTGTTTCTCGCGATCGTGCGTCGTTGTTATTATCGTGTCGTTATCGGATTACATAAAGAAGCCTTCTGTTATCGTGTTACATAAAACTATTCGATGGCGTCGCGCTAATTGAACGACGTTTATCGAGATTTCGGATAAGTTTTATTTTCCAGCCGACAGCCGATGAAAAACGGTATTCTTTTCAACCATTGTACGATCGTCGATATTGTGGTCACGAAACAGACAGCGCATGGGTCTCTTCAGACCTCCATATAAATTTCTTTCCGTCTCTGCCACAGAAAACTTTTTCTTAAAATATTTAATATTTCAAACTCTGTACTTTGATATTTTCCAATGATTTGGAAGCTCCTGAATATTTCAGTTAAAATGGGACTCTTAAGGTGCGTATTCACTGGTACAAAGTTCATAAACACCATTCCCAAATGAATTCGTAAATCTTTCAGAATCATTACGTTTCAGATGTCTACATTACGTGGTGCAACTATAAAACCACCCTAAAATTGTTCAATTCTTGCGTATTGTGGCTAAAATAAATACGAACCACTTTTCTTTCTAGGGAATATAATCTATCCTTTTCTGGGGAAACATGATTTCTCTACACGATTTACATGGTATACTTGGTACGTTTTTATTTTAACCACAACACATAAGAATTGAACAATTTTAGGGTTACGCTACGCAGAATATACACTGCGAACACATCAGAAATAATACGCTAACATACGATCCCTAGAAAGCATAATTCGTGTACAGTTCACGAACTGTTCGCCAAGACCAGTAGAGGCGCACCTTTGCCGTCGTGAGCAACATTCATTGGAAATATTATTTTATGATAGTTACACACGTTGAAGGTTACATTCCCGCCTGTCTCGATCGCAAAATCAACGCAACAATTTCCACATCTCCAACGTATCACCTCGTCTCAAGACCTATTTTAATAGCAGGAAATGTTTTCAAAAATCCGCGCGATAACGATAGCGCGTGACCTAAAATCGTCTATGAAGAATCAAAATCGCGTTCCGATATAACGATAAAAAGAACGGAGGAAGGGAAACAAGCGACGTTCGTCGAAGATTTCTCACATGTTCACGCATTGGGATCCAATTCCCGGTGTATTATCCACTTGAATTAAACTTTGAGTGAAAAATAATTCTTATCAGTTTTTTTTCTAAACGCCCAAAAAAAAAAATAATGAATTTGAAGTATTTTTTAAAATAGGGGTTTTGAAGACTAACTCGACCGGATTAGTATTATCTCGATCAGGGAGTTTGCTCCCCCGTCGAGCGTGAGCGGAACGTGACCGAGGCGTCGCGTCGATTACGCTCGATCCCGATAAAACTGGCCTACCGTAAGCATGCACGTGCGTTTTTCATCTCGTGGCTATCATTCACAAATACGCCGGGCGGACGATCGATTTCGCGGCTGATGCACGCGCGCAAACCCGCGTGTTCCGTTTACATCGCAGCGATTTTGATCGTCTCGATCGCGACATTGATAACGAGTCGATAATCAAACGAAAACGATCGAACCCAAGGATCGCTGAAAAAAAAAAACGTAGGAAACGATTTGTTGCAATTGGTTGCGTAAGCAACGGTGAGAATTCGCGGTGTTTTATCTCGTTCCACAAATCAGAACAGATACGTAAATTTTTCGATGAGTACGAGTCAGAAAGTAATGTGATAGATGAAACGAGTCGATGATAAAAGTCATCGTGAGTATGTACAATCCGGTTAAGCTTAAATGTAATTTATGGAGGGGCTGTTACTTTGAATAGAAACGTTTAACTTCCATCCACGTTTTCGTTTTTGTAAACAATCATACGAGCAGTGGATCAATTCGTTTGCTCGAGACCAGTGGAAACCAGGGACTTCTACCGAAACGTAAAGTACCGGTATTATACCGGTATTTTCGGTTGTACCTTCGCCCTGTATAACCCTATATAAGCCCTGCCCGTATAGAAATCGAAGAAATACCGGTATTTATTTCAGTTTTCGGTAATATATCAGCTTCCGTATTGCTTTAATGGCATAATACCGGTATCAAAATCATACCGATTTAAGTCCCTGGTGGAAACGGCGTACCTTGCTTGGATTTTTCGAGAAACGTTTATAATTCGATGGTCTGTCCGTTCCTGGAGGAAGAGAAGTATCGGAAACCGCGAACGATCACGTTACACCGGTAATCTATCAACGATCTAACGATGTAAACTCGTCCGCGGACAGCTCGAAGCAGTACTGTCGCCGCGAGAGTCGGTGAAACTCGCACCGTCTATTGATAGTTTCATGCAAAGGAGGGCGACCTCGTGTATAATAATCGCTTGACATTGGCATCGTGACTGACAGACGAGACTAGGACGACATAGCTGGCTGCTTTTTCTCGTGCGATATACAGCTACACGATCTCTGGTTCATCTCGTTGTCGCGTTCAGCTTCCGTTACTGGCCGAACACATTCATTACGATGCAAATTTTCGGATAGATATTAGTGATCTTAATATTATTTCAGAATTGGTCGATCGATGATTAACACCTTCACAAACGGAAAGTCCTTTTGAAGTTCAAAACAGGGACTTAAACCGATATTAAGCCATCAAAACTATACCGGAACCCATATATTACCGAATAATATAAATATAAATATAATCGAAATAAATACCGGTATTTTTTCGGTTTCTATAAGGGTAGGGCTTATACAGGGATATATAAAGCGAAGGTACAACCGAAAATACCGGTGTAATAACGGCATTTTACGGTTCGGTTGAAGTCCCTGGTTCATAATTGGCCATTCGAGTTAATCTGAACGGAGAAACACCTGTGGACGCGCATCAAAAATTTCCCTCGCTAAATTTGACGGTGGGAATATCAAACAAACGTTTCTCGTGGAAAGTTTCTCGGCCTCTTTCGTTGTTATCGTCGTTATTGATATATTATCGACGTGAATTAGCATGGGTAATTCCATTCAACGATCGTCTTTCAGGCGGGAACGTCATTCTTGCATGTATCGCCGCATCGCCAAGGTGATACCAAGATGGCGGCCGACTCGTATAAGGACGCGCGGAAAGATCGAATGCGCGTCGCGTTCGCCGGCGCGAACGAATCTCATTAGCGGTTACGCCATGCTTGCATTACAACGAATCGCATTTTGCACTCGTCACACTCGGAAATTTTTTGTTACTACTATTTTATCTATCTGATTTTTGTTGCTCGGTCTTATCGCCGCCTGGCATCGTCGAAGAAATTAAAGTTGAGATTGGTTAAACGACACAGGGCATTGAACCTGTTCGAAAATTTCCCGAAAGAATGTTTACATTCCATTTGGTTCTGTCTGGCAGGGATACTATTAAAAATTAAAAGAATTCATTTAGATGTTACAGAGTTGAAATTGGAAATTTAAGAACCAAGATATTATCGATATACATATTTTTCCCCTGAAAAACACCATTAAAGGATGGGTCAAATTGCAGAAGTAGACTTTTATTTGTTCAATTGTTTGCATCGCGTACACACCTTCGAGTTTATATTGCAATTACGTAAGTGAGATAACAGAAACGGAGGAAAGTTTCTACGTTTGAGAACAAACGATCAATCACGGCGTAACAAAGCAGCACGTAGGAAAACATGTTGAGTGACACGTGCCGCACGTGGACGATAGTGATACGCACGTGATAGCGACTATCACGACACTGGTAATCTCTCGCCGATACGCTTGCAACCGGCCTCCGTTCATTGTGCATACGAACACATGCATTCTGGTAATGGTTTAGCTGATGAAACTTCCAAAGAATGTTAGCCAGTGCTGGATAGGGGAACCAGAATTTTGGAATCTTGTGACTCTTATCGATTACGTACCACAAGATTCCCACAATTAATTTATAATGAAGCACACAAATTTAAGGATTTACATTATCAGGTGTCAGATAATAAAGAAAAATTATTCGAAGATACAGTTGAATACAAGTGATGAAATGATATGTCATTGTTTGAAGGACAATTTTAGGAATCTCCTTTCTTCTTCCCTCGAAACGCTTCTCTTTTCGTTCTTTATTCGTTATCAGATCAACATATAAAATAATCTCCGTCAAATTTCTTAAACGTTCCTCCATGACGCACTCAAAAATTAGCAAATTCCCAAACGGACCAATCCCTCGATCGGACGGAAACAGAATCTAAGGATCACCCATATTTCGCGATAAGTTTCCCCGTCATCGAGCCGGAGAATTCTAAACGTCTGACCCCCTGAACCACCGATAAACAGCGAGAACTAGAAGCACAAAGGTCGCGTTCCACGCGTTCCCGATCAACTTCACACCACTCCATTTGTAATTAAATAATCGTCGATACGTACATATGCAGATTAAGAACAACCCTGCCTATCGTGTCTACCGATCACGAAAATCGATCCCTTTCCTCCTTCCATTCCTTCTTCTCCATTGGTCCGACGACCACGGGATCGTCTTAAATGAACTGTTAACGGCTACGTACGGAGTCGTTTATCGGCCCGATAACAGGAGTCTGGCGCCTCGCGGCGTATCTTTTCTCCCGTTGACAAGCTCAGAACTGTATGCAAATTGCAAATTGTTTTCCGCGGCTCCATTGGCTAAACGGCGTGCCCCCCAGCGTAATGCACACGATTATCTGTCCTACTTGCGTAAGAGGTCACCCTATCCTTGTCGACAGTGATTCTCAAAGAATTCAGGGACTTAAACCGGTATGATTTTGATACTACATAAAAAGCTATATCGAAAGCGACATATTACCGAAAACCGAAATAAATACCAGTATTTTTTCCAATTTCTGTAAAGGTATGGCTTATATAGGGTTATATAAGGCGAAGGTACAACCGAAAATACTGGTAGACACAGTGTATTCAAAAAGTTCCCGGACTTATGTTTGCTAACAAAAAGATTTATAGGTAGACATCGTTTTATTGTTCAATGTTCTACATAGTTTCCTCCTCTGTTGATACACTCTTGATGACGTTCATACAGTCGCCGGAACGGGCTTGTCACTTTCCGTTTGATTGCTTCCTCATCCTCAAAACGAATTCCTTTCATGGCTAGTTTCAATTGGGGACATAGGAAATAATCCGCTGGAGCCAGATCTGGTGAGTACGGAGGGTGCATTAGACTCGTGACTGACTTTTTAGCCAAAAATGAAGACACAGTTAGCGATATGTGAGACGGAGCGTCATCGTGTAACAGAAACCATTGACCGGACTGGTCTTTTTTTTCCAAGTTCGTCAGGAAGGATAACATGAACACTTCCAATACTTATTTTCAACTCCTCTGACAACATTTCAATGGTCGTGACGGCGCACAACATTTTCGTCTGTTCTGCTTGCCGACGGACGCCCTTTCCTTGGGTTGTCTTCGAGTGACTTGCAACCATTCTTGAAACGTGAATACCATTCAAATACATGCCTACGACGGAGACAGTCACTTCCATGTGCATTTTGCATCATTTGCTATGTCTCTGTAGGACTTTCTCCACTTAAAAAACAAAACCGTAACGCAGCTCTTTGCTCCATCACAAAAATTATTACAACAAAACAAAACTGACAAAATTTAAATGTGCTCTGCAGACAAACGACTAAATCTTTTAAGGTTAAACGAAGCTGATCAACAAAAGAAGATTTATAGTCAATAGATTTAGCCTTAAAACACAGACGTCGCCACCAGAAGCTATCATGTGTTATTACAGTCCGAGAACTTTTTGAATAAACTGTGTAATACAAGTATTTTACGTGTCGGTAGAAGTCCCACTCAAAGATACTGCCGGAACGTACTCGAACGGATATATCCTCTAAATCGTCGCTGGACGATCGAGGTGGACGTTAGTGTGAGATCAGGTTAGATCAACAAACCGGCAGATTCAGTCGACGAAGGATGTAAAAGATCGACCGCGCTGATTTGCAGGAATTGAACGTACATACAGTAAATCGTCGATGAGTGTTCGAAAGCTCCTCGATACTGACAAGGAGAGGTCCTCAGATGTAACACTGCCTTTCATCAATCATTTTTAATGACCATTAGTTTATGAAATATTCAATGTTGACTGCAGAGGAGCCTTCGTACACTCATCAAAGAGTAACTGTACTCGACAGTTGGGTTCGACGACACTTCGAATTCGGGTCAATGAATGTTCGATGATTGGGCTGGATGGTTGTCGGAAAGTGCTTTCACTCGAAAGATTACTCAAATACAAAGTTTATCTGATGCGTTACTTACCTGGGTTCTTTTAGCTTTGTTAATGTTATTTCAGCGATAATTTTATACGATAAGCAGATTACACCCGTGTTTTCTTATTTTACTCGATGTTTAGAATTCTGTGAACTTAATATTATTTCTACTAATTACGCATCAATGTTTTCCTTACAATCGACAAATTCCTAACAAAGCGACGACGCGATCGTGCGATCCGCCATCTTTGAATTCGCGCAACCAGCAACTCCGCTGCCAATATGGCGACGCTGAGCAGATAGCCGCACAGCATCCCTATCATCATTCTCTGTTGTGCACTCGATGCAACGTCGATATATTCTTCCGTGGGCTGTTCGTCAGTTTTCAAGAATGCCAACGCGTTTTCCCGTTCTCTGATGCCGCACTGGTTTATCCGCAACAGAATATCGTTAACCACCTCCTTCAACTGCCATTTCTGCGAAATCGCGTGGACAACGGCCACGTTGCCTTGACATAATCGCGTAATTCTCTTAGGATACACTACATGCCCTTTCGGACGGTACGCTTCTAGCACCTGCTGCGAGAAATAGCTGCAATCACGGCATTGCGTTTCGTTGTACAAAGTAATTATCTTGTGGAACACGTGAAACAAACTGGGGGGCACGATCGTGTTGTTTCCAATAAAATGGTTGTACATTGACTGGTCCACCTGAACGTATTTGAAGGAATTAGAATTCGAAGAGTAGCATTAAAACTTTCAAGCAGGCACTTGTACCGAAATGTAAAATAACTATATAATCCCACATACAGGGTGTCCCAAAAATGTCGTCCGACCCGGAAATGGGGCACTCGGGTGATGAATTGGAACAACTTTTTCCTTAGCAACAATGTAATCTGATCCTATAGAACCTATCCTTATAGAAACCGAAAAAATACCGGTATTTATTTCGGTTTTCGGTCATATATTGGTTTCGGTATAGCTTTGATGGCATAATACCGGTATCAAAATCGTATCGGTATAAGTCCCCGCTTT